CACCAGCCCTGGGCCCTGCTTCTGGCTGAGCAACCCTCCCTGCGTTGAGTGGCTGCCCCCTGGTGGTCAGTGCGTGGTATAGTGACCGGTCATTCTGCTGTTTGGTTGATTTGTTTATTAGCCTTTTATTATATAGGATAAAACAAATACAGAAAGGTTCACATAATGAGAGAATACAGCTTCATGGATTTCATAAACGGACCACCCCAGGGTGTCTGCCTGCCCAGCTAACATGAGCTTAATTCTCTCTGGCTTAAGGAGGAAGGAGGACCTGCTTTCTTCAGATGCGCTACTACCTGTCCCTTTTGTACTGCCACCTGTACAGCTATAACTTAAACGATGCCCAGGGACTGTGCGATCAGCTGGTGAGAGAACTGCTGAGACGGTCCCGCCTGCCTGTAAGGGACAATGGGGAGAGTTCGGGTACGTTTTTCAGAAATCGGTGTCTTTCTCCGTGTTAACGTGTGCTTACAGGTTTAGATGTGAGATTGCTTATGCATAAACAGTGGTGGTTCTGCCGGTTAGGGCTAATGCTGGCCTGGCAAGTGCATTGTGGCTGGATTGCTTTGCTTGGATCCTCCATGTTATTAGATAAAACTAGTAACTTCAAGTCACAACAAGTTCCTAAGCGTACGGGCTCACACGTAGGGGCCAATTATGTGTGTTCTGTGGTCTTCAGAAGCCCAGATGCCCATCGTAAATTTACTTGTACCGGCCCAGAGTGCTCACCTCGTTACGAGTTCCCTCCCGGGTAATGCTGGGGCTTAGGTGTTACCACCTGGTGACGGTCTGACCAGTCTCCTCTGCTCGCTCTCTGTGTCCCTCAGCTCCCGCGCTGGGCCTGCCCGGGCCTGTGCACCCCGAGGCCGCACGGGGGGTCGTCCAGTCCCTGGCCCGGTTCATGGCCGCCTATTTCACCGGCCGGCGGCTCTGCGTCCTGCCCCCGCACCACGTGGGCGTCCTGCCGCCCCTGCACGGGGAAGCAGGTAAGCGTGCCCCCCTCCGCTGCTCTGACGTTCACACAGCATGCCCCGGGGTCCCTCCCGTCAGCTCAGGGCCTGGCCCCGCCGCTCAGCGCCCACGTGGGAAGGGATAGAGTCTGAGAAAGACCATTGCTCGGGTCTGTGCCTTTTGAATATGGATTTTTTTAAATCACAAGTTTTGGATAAGCTGGTGTTTATAAAGTTTTCATTTTTAAAAGTCAAAGTAATTCCACCTTCATTTCTATAAAAATTAAATAGATTTTGGTATGCTAATTTAGAATGTGATTTTACTTGGATAGTTAACCTGAAAAACTATTTTTTTATTGCTTTCCAAGAGAGGAAGGGGAAAGGGAGAGAGAGAAACAGTGATGCGAGAGAGAAACATCGATCGGCTGCTCACATTCGCCATTTTCTTTTGAGGGAATAAGTGAAAATCTCAGCAATATGTATTTTTACAAAAATAACAGTCCTGTCATCGTAGTTTCATGTTGTTGATTCCAGTTACTTCGGTGAGGGGAGTACAGAAAGCCGGGGACGGGCCTGTAATTTACAAATTGAAAGCTGCACTTTTCCGCTTCCTTAAAAACACTGACAGATGGAACACTCAGTGTGCTCCAGTGCGACCTGCAATCAGTTGAGGTTTTTTTGCTGTGTGTTTTTTTGCATGACATGAGGAGTACGAGGTCAGGGAAACCTCCATGTGTGCCCTCCAGGGTTCCTAACCTGGTTAGAGCAGCAGAAGCAGGAGTCGGTTGTGCACTGCGATGCGGCACTGACCTGCACGCATGGCCCTCGGCCTGTCCGGTGTGAACAGGCGCTTCCTGTGTCCACCTGACTGTGGTCACGCGCTGCCTCCCGGGCCTGTCGCTGCCGGTTCTGTTCCCTTAACGCTGGCACCGCTGGTGCATCCCTCAGCGCGAGGCCTCCGGAGTGGAGTATGTCAGCCCGTGTTGTGTGATCTCGGGGGGGGGGGGGAATGCCGTGAGGGTGACCTGTCCTCTCCCCGCAGGGCCGGGCCCGCGGCGCCTCCCCCTGCAGCGCGCGGCGGCGGCCCGGGCGGTGCAGGAGCAGGGCCTGGGCGGCGTGTGGACGGCGGACTACGCGCTGGAGCTGCTGTTGCTGGGCGGCCTGGCCCCCGAGGCCGTGCGGCTGGCGCGGGAGCTCGGGGCCTGGAAGACGGCCGTGGCCATCGGCGTGGCCTGCCAGCTGGGCCGCCGGGGCCGCGGCTTCCCCAGGTGCGCGGGCCCCGGGCCGGGGGGAGGGGTGTCGCTGCAGGGCCTCTCCCCCCTCTGACCCATCAGCGGCCGGTCCCTCCGCCTCGGCCGGAGGCTGCCACTGAGGGTGTCTGTCCAGCCGCCGGGGCCAGTGAGAGCGGGAACCGAACTTCCCACCCAAGTGAAATCCAAGTCGCTGCGCGCAGCTAGCGGGTGCCGTGCTAGTGGGCAGCTCAGGGAAGGGCAGGACTCCGGGGGTGCGGGGGTGGGGAAAGGAAATGCCCTTGTGGGAGGGGCCACTGAAGGTGGGCATGGAAGGAAGATGGGATCTTGGCAATTGGAGTAGCTACAGGGAGAGAGAGATTTCCAGACACAAGCAGAGGCCTTTGGCCAGGCCAGTCGGGTCCGGTTGGGCAGAGCCGTCCGCAGGGCAGCGGGTGTGTGTGTGTGTGTGTGTGTGTGTGTGGTGGGGTGGGTTGTGGGGGGCGTCAGGTGGACGTTTAGCGCCTCGCTGTGAAGAACCCCGGGCCCTCCTTAAGGCAGAGTTTCCTATAACATTCCTTCTTAGCTGCAGGATGAACAGTGAAAGTGAATTTCACTGTAAACTTCACGTGTAGTTCTCGGTGTGTGAATATTGGCTCTTTTGAAAATTTGAAGTCATTTCTCCTGATTTGATGTGATTTCAGGTTCAGGAAAAAGGGCCGGGATCTGCCGTCCAGCTTGACTCCCGCCCGGATTTTCCAGGAGAAACTCCGGTGTCTTTTAGGTCAGCCGGCCTCTTCAGAAGCAAAGAGAGAAATGGGCTCAACATACAAACAGTTTACAGGTGCGTCACCACACGGGCCTGGCAGGCCGAGCTGGTTAGTTAATGAGCCTTGTGGTATTTTAAAAAGCTGGTAATACCTACAGGTATGCTAACACTTTGAAGTAAGCTTATTGAAAATCAAAGTGTACTACATATTTAAAAAAAAAATACATATATATATATATATATATATATATATATATATATATATATATTCCGCCCCTGCACGGAATATAGATATTGATTTCAGAAAGGAAGAAGAGGGAGAGAGATAGAAACACCAATGATGAGAGAATCATTGATCTGCTGCCTCCTGCACACCCCACATGGGGGATCAAGCCCACAACTTGTTCATGTGCCCTGACCGGAATTGAACCCTGACCTCCCGGTTCATAGGTTGAGGCTCAACCACTGAGCCACACTAGCCAGGCAAGCATTGTTTTTTTTGTTTTTGTTTTTAAATAAACTTTTTAGAAATATGTTTTTATTGATTTTTGAGAGAGGACAGGAGAGAAGAGGGAGAGAAACACTCACTGGCTCCCCCTGTGGGTCGTAGCCAGTGCCCTGGCTGGGAATTGAACCTGGAACTCTTGGTGCCTGGGATGACACTCAGCCACCGGGTCACACCAGCCTGGCACCGGAGGCTCTCATACTGTGTGCTAGGCCTTACAGCATGCTGACCGTAGTTGAAGTCATTTTTTAAAAAAATATATTTTTATTGATTTTGTCCAGAGAGGAAGGGAGCTAGAGAGTTAGAAACATTGAGGAGAGAGAGTCATCGACCAGCTGCCTCCTGCACACCCCCTACTGGGGATGTGCCCGCAACCAAGGTACCTGCCCTCGACTGGAATCGAACCGGGGACCTTTCAGTCCACAAGCCGACGCTCTATCTATTGAGCCAAGCCGGTCAGTAGTGCCATGAAGGATAATAAGAAAAAAGTTTAAAAATCACTATTACTCTCCCGTTGCCTTCACATAATGTTTCATTTTATTTGGCTATCTTCCTTGATACTTCTTCTTTTTTTAATCGGGACCATACTTCCAAAATATTTTTATTTGTTATGACTATAATACAGTGTCTGATTTTGGGAAAAGTCCTTGTGCCATGATTGCCTATGGCCTTAAAGGAACAGATGGGTGGTTGGTTTCTGTCCGGAAGCTTGTAGGCCAGCTGAGAGGGCACTGGGGAAGGCCCGCTCTTGCAGAGCGAGGTGTCGCCGTGAGGCGGGGTGGGTGGTAGGATCGCGTTCTGACGGCCCCTCCCTCCCTCCGGTGCGCAGACCCCATCGAGGAGGAGGACGCGCAGCTGCTGCTGGGCGCCGTGCGGGAGGTGCTGACGGCCGCGGCCATGGCCCAGGCGGACGTCCTCTCCGAGGCCTGGCCGCTCCTGGTCCGCTCCGCCCAGGACTGCAGCCGGCGGCTCTGGGGCCTGGTGCCCGGCGGCCTGTACCTCCCCGCCCCGCCGCTGTACTGCCCCCAGCCGGCCCTGCTCAGCCAGGTACGCGCCTTCCAGCTCGGTGGGAAGCATAGGGAGTCGGACAGAACGGATCAGTGGACACAGCGGGGGCTGAGCAGGCAGGGGAGGGCTTCCCCGAGGAGGTGATGCCGCCTGAGGAGGACGTGGCGGAGGCAGGACAGGCCTCGCCTTCTCCGGAGCGGTGAGCACCGTCCGCCCGTGGGGGGGGGGGGGGGGAGGCGGCCTTCACCTGTGGGGGAAGACCTGGGATCCGGGTCCAGTTAGCCCTCCCTCTGTTCGGGGGGAGGGAGTGTGTCCTGGACGCCAGCCATCGCTCCAGGGAAATCGCAGGTCGGGACTCAGCGTTCTCCTTATAAAATCTCCAGTTCCGAGGCGCTGTCTCTACTTGCACGTCAGCTGGAGACCTTTCCGCCTTACGGGCCGGAGTGTGATTGTGTTTTCCCAGGAGGACGCTGACGACCTCCCGGTGAGAGCGGAGAAGGAGAACCGCCAGAAGGTGTCCGGGATCCTGCAGCGCCTGCTGCTGCTCCTCCGCGCCGCGCGCTGCTCCTTCCCGGCCGCGCAGTGGTACATCCTGCAGCTGCGGTGGGCCCGGAAGGTCATGGGGAAGGTAGGCGGGGGGCCCGGAAGGTCATGGGGAAGGTAGGCGGGGGGCCCGGAGGGTCATGCAGGAGGTGGGCGGGGGGCCCGGAGGGTCATGGGGAAGGTAGGCGGGGGGCCCGGAAGGTCATGGGGAAGGTAGGCGGGGGGCCCGGAGGGTCATGCAGGAGGTGGGCGGGTCTCCGGTACGTGCTGTGAGCCGAGTAAACAGGCAGCCTTCCTTAGGATTGGTGACGGGCCGTGTTCCCATGGCGTCCTGCCTGTCAATCCCTAGTCAGACTTCCCACAGTGAACCTCCCTGAATGATGCGGACTCTGCCCTGGGGCTCTGTGAGTCCCATCCTGCCTGGCGATGGAAAGTCTAATGTGGCCCGGCCAGTGTGGCTCAGTGGTTGAGCATCACCTATGAACCGGGATGTTTCTGATCGATATCCGATCAGGGCATGTGCCTGGGTTGCGGGCTCAATTCCTAGTCTGGGGTATCCAGGAAGCAGCTGATCAGTGATTCTCTCTCAACACTGATGTTTGCTCTCTTTCTCCCTCTCTCTTCCTCTCTGAAATGAAGTAAAAAATATATTAAATAAAGAAAGTATAATATAGTCAGTTAATTTCAGTTACATCCTCTGCCCGGGGGGCCTCCGGTCACTGGGGATTTAAACTCAGTTTATGGTTTTCTCCGATGTCTGCCTGAGGGCATATAGCAGATGTTCTGGGGGTGGGATCAGAGAGCGAGGGTGCTCCTGGTTCTGTCTCCGCTCCTGGTCCCACCGGCCCAGCTGCGGGTCCCCCGCAGGCCACAGCCTCTCTGTGGATGTGGAAATCAGTGTTATGAGCCCCAGGGCTTTTCATTGGCCCTGGATTCCATTAACAATAAGCATCACACCTCCTGCTTTATGGAGACGGACGGACCCCTTAGGCTCCAAGTCGTGGTTTATCAAGTTGTTCTTGAAAATTAATCACTCTTTAGAGAGACAAGTTTGTCCTCATCCTGTATTTTGTCATCCCAAAAGTGTGGATTATTTTGTATGTTTACTAAAAAGTATGGAATTCTGAATAAAGTATGGTCTTTAGTTAATGTATCAAAATATCGGTTCATTGATCACAAATGCACTATAACGCTGCAAGCGGCTGATAACGGGGAAACTGCGTGGAAATGGGACTGAGCACGCAACCTGGGCAGGCGCCCTAATTGGAATCGAACCGTGACCTCCTGGTTCACAGGTCGAGGCTCAGCCGCTAAGCATTGCCAACTGGGTGTACACAGTGTTATTTTAGGTGAAAGTTAGAAACTTTAGTCTCTTTATCATGCCTCTGGAGAAAGGACAAAAAGCCGTAAGTTCTTTTTGTACGGACATAACTGAGTGACAGAGGATAACTTGATTAGACCGTTTGTTCTCTTTTGGGATTGAGCCTTTTGAAGTGAACGTGTGATCGGAGTTTGAGAGCGCGGCTGGTTCCAGGGGTAGTGTGGGACCCAGGCCGTGTTTTCCGTGCTCCATGGTCTGTCTTCGCCGGCTGCTGAAGCTTTACCGTGTCCTCAGACACTGATCTAGGCGCTGGCAGTGACCATGTCCTCCTTCACTTTCAGATTCGAGCGAAAGGGTCCCTCCCCGCCCTGAGCCCCTTCCCTCAGTCACTGCTGCAGCACTGCCTGGGCGGCGTGGCCTTCTTCCGGCCGGGAGCCACGGGCGACGGCAAGCTGGACGAGGCTTCCGTTACAGCAATAGGTTTGTCCCGGAGGAGCTGCCTGCTTAGAGTGTTAATGAAGGATCTGCTTTATTCCTGATTTGGGGATGTTTCTGTATAACAGCGTGTTACATGGAGAGCAATCCAAGATACGTTAAGTGAAGAGAAGAGAAAACTGCATAGTAGGGTTTTATACGTCTTCATGTACTGGTATTGGTTTTAATAAAGAATATTCATAATATTGGAAATTATGTTTTAGTATTGAAAATTTTTAAACTTTAATGCCTATCAGTGATTTTCCAAATAAACTATTTAGCATTGAGTACAGATGAATGCATTGGCTTAAATAGTATCTACCATATACTATTGAGCTTAAAGCAAGTAACTACCAGTAATACCCTGTTTCCCAGAAAATAAGACAGTGTCTTATATTAATTTTTTCTCCCAACGTTGCACTAGGTCTTATTTTCAGGGGATGTCTTATCTTTCCATGTGCTAGGTCTTATTTTCGGAGGATGTTTTATTTTCGGGGAAACACGGTAGAGTAAGTTATTTATTCTTTAACGGTGATTTTAATACTTTCATGCAACGGACACGCGTGAACTATTCTAGAATAATAATATACATAAAAACTCTGGAAGGTTCTCCATGACTTTTATGTAAGGTGTTGATAATGAGAACATGTTTCTTTTATAATCAAGGAAATACATTTATTCGGGGGGGGGGGGGGATACAGGCAGCGAGAGCTGACATTGCTCCCTCGGTGTCGTCCTCACACGGCTTCTTGGTGCCCCTGACCAGGGTGCTTCCGGGAGCTGTGTGCGCTGTGCTGGATGCTGCACGTCCGGGACCAGCTGTCCGTCCGCTGCCGGCTGTACCAGAAGGCCCGCGAGCGCGTGCAGGGGAAGCAGGTACTTACCTGCCAGAGGGGAAGGGAGGTGAACAGGCGATGCTGCAAACCTGGTGCTTGATAGGCTTTACTGTTTGGAGCAAAACTTTCTTTTGGATTTATCCTGCCTGCCGTCTGGAGCGGAAGGAAACCCGTTTTGTCCAATGTCCGTTTAGGACCTCCCCGTGGAGTTGGACCCGTGCGCGGTGGAGCACTGCCTGGGGGCGGCCGAGTGGGCGTGCAGGATGCTGCCCTTCGCCCGGTTTTCCAACGTCGAGGAGCTGATTCAGGACCTGATTTTGAGCCTCATTGGAGACCTGCCGCCGATCAGACAGGTAATGTGAGGGTAGGTGCACCTGAACCAGGTGAACCAAACCAGGGTCAGAAACTTTAAGGGATTTTCCTTGTAATTAAGAATGATGTTGCTCCTAAAACTCGCTTTTTCATTTTTCCTAAGGTCGCAGACATTTTCGTGAGAGCATTTCCCAATCCTGAGGACATAAGGGTTCCTTTGAGAGAAAAATACCACGCTCTCCAGCAGAGGCTCAGCGCCTGCGTCGTGAAAGGTACCGCTGTTCGCTTCTCTGTGTCCGCTGGGAAGGCTGCGGGGCTCGGGTTTGTCTGCAAAGCCCTGGCCCTCCCGGGCGTCCTCTCCTCCCGGGACGGGCCCTTCCCGCGCAGCACCGGGTCCGAGGGGAGCAGAAGGAGCCGCTCCCCCGTGGCTCTGTCTCTTAGTGACCGGGCGAGGCGCTCAGTCTCCAAACCGCATTTCCCTATTTGCAAAATTACTATCTTGATTCGGGTCTAAGAATGTGTCTGGAAAGAGGATTAAATAAGGTAAATTCTATAAAATGAACATATGGTGCTTTTCATAATGAGGATATTTTATTGAAAACTAGTATTCTTTCCCTTTACGGTTATTTATGCTTCCTCTAGTTTTATCCTATACATTCAAGATGGTCTTGTGGAAATTATTTTTTTATTGTGGTAAACATACATAGTAATGACATTTGCCATTTTAAGTGTAGAGTTCAGTGCCTTGACCATGATGTGGAAATGTTAAAAGAATTCAAATTACCCACATTTTTAGAGCTAATCTAGTATTTAGATCTAGTTATGTCTTACGATTGCACATTGTTGTATTCCTATCCTTACATTGCATTTATGATTTCTCTTTTTTTTATGATATATTTGTATTGATTTCAGAGAGAGGAAGGGAGAGAGAGAGACTGATAGAAACATCAGTGATGAAAGAGAGTCATTGATTGGCTGCCTCCTGTATGTCCCACACTGGGGGTCGAGTCGGCCACCGGGCCTGTGCCCTCAACCAGAATCAAACCTCCTGGTTCCTGGGTTGGTGCTCACCCTCTGCGCACGCCGGCCAGGCCAGGGTCCTTTCTCTCAGCGGCCTCTGCGGCTCCCGCAGGGAGTGCCCACTGGGGCTTCCTCACGAATCCAATGCAGGCCCGTCAGAGAGGGGAATGGCCGTACTTGTCGGCGGCTCTGTGTCCTCGGGAGGGACCCGAATCGGCCTTCTCGAGCTGAAACCTTCCTGAGCGACCCTGGCCCTCTCCCCCAGGCCCCCTCAGCGAGGAGCCCCTGTCTGTGGCCATGCGCTCCATCCGCAGAGTGAGGGCCAAGGCCCTCCGACGCGTGCAGAGGAACATCGGGCCCTTCGAGACCCACGTCTGGGAGCCCGCGGAGGACAAGCCCGCCGAAGGTCCCGGGTTCGAGGGCTGCTCCCTGGGGACGAGCCCGAGCGGGAGCACACTCACAGACCTGGGCACGTCCCCGGGCCACAGCACGGCCGACACGCTCTCGGAGGCTCTGAGCTGGACGCATCTCCATCGCAGGTACGGCTAGAGCAGAGCCCTCAGAGCAGCGGGCCCTCCCTTTGAAAGAAACGTCTCCATGTTTCATGCAGCCGGTGAGCCGGCTTCGGGGCCAGCGCCTCGCTGCCTGGCGGGCTCATGGGCACGAGCACTGCCCCCACAGGACCGGGGAGTGCCAGTGAGACTGCGTTTGAGAGAGATTGAGATGGATGGGCTGCCTCCTACATGCCCCACTGGGGATTGAGCCCACAACCCAGGCATGTGCCTCAACCAGGAATTGAGCCATGACGTCCTGGTTCATAGGTCTACACTCAACCACTGAGCCACACCGGCCGGGCAGATTTTCCCCCTTTTAATTCTGGCATCTGAAATGTAACTTATCCTTCTCACACCGAAGGAGCGTGTCTGAGCAAACCCTTGCTTAAGTGAAGTAATCCCGAAAGGTGGGTGACCGCTGTTAGAGGATTTACTTTTCCTCCCAGAAACACATTCGTGTTCTCTGATAGGAAAACTTCTATGACTACATCTTAACACAATTTTTTCCTTTTATATTAACGTGTGGTACTTTTTATTTTTAAAATTTTATTTATTTTTATCCTCACCCAAATGTTTATTAATTTTTTTAGAGAGGGGGAGAGGGGGAGAGAAAGGGACAGAGAAACATCGATTGGTTGTCTCCTGTACACCCCCTAGTGGGATCAAACCCGCAACCTGGGCACGTGCCTGGACTGGAATGGAACCTGCAGCCTTTAGGTGGATGGAAGCCCTGACTGACAGCAGCCCGGTCAGGCTGGTGTTTTCCAGATTCAGGATGCTCAGCTCCAGCGAACACTTAGAGATCCTTTAGTCCACCCCCCGCATTGGAAAGAGAGATACTCGAAGCATAAAAAAAAAAATAGGATTTAATCAGCAGACAGAATTTTTATAGTCAATTCTAACGTCCGTTTCACTGACAAAATGATCTTTAATTTTGTCTTTTCTGTAGGAAGGCCCCAGATCACGCGGACGCGGCGCTGACCGCTGAGCCCCGCGGTGACAGGAGCGCGGGGCGCCGGGGAGGGGGCGCCCCGCGGAGGGGGCAGGCGCGGGCGCTGCCCGTGGTCGGCGCCCGGGAGTTTGAGCGGGAGGACGACGAGTACATGCGGTTCCTGGAGCTGCTCCTGAGCTACGTGCTGGAGCGGGACCTGCAGGGCGGGGAGCCCGGCCCCCCGCTGCTGCCCGGCTTCTCGGGAAGCCTGCGCGAGCGGGAGCTGGACCCCCTGCTGGCCGGCCTGCACGGGGCCCCGGGGGCGCTCCGGGCCGGCTCCTGCTTCCAGCTGGCCCCGGAGCCCGAGGACCCGGGGGGCCCGGCGGCCCCAGCCCCGGGGCCCCCTCCGGAGAGCCTTCGGGGCGCCCCCAGGGACAGCGGGGGCCGGAGCGGCCTGTTCGGGCTGCAGCACAGGGCCCTCTACAGGGCGCACGGCGCCGGTGCCCCCGGGCCTGGCACCCCCAGGGTGGCCGGCCGGACTGCGTGGGCGCCGGAGGGCAGGCGCAGAGGCAGGTGTGTGTTCAGAGCCATCGGGGGCGCTGACGCCGGCCCCCTGGCCCGGCTCCCTCCGGTGCCGGGGGCGGGGGCGGCGGGCAGCGCGGGGCTGCAGGTGCTGCTGGAGTGGATGCTGCGCTGGGCCGCCCGCAGGCTGCCCTGCGACCCCAGCCTCCCGGCGCCCCAGGCCCGGCCCGTGCTCCGGCTGACACCCCCTGCGGCTGCCATTCTGACATCACTGTGGCTCTCGGAACAGCCCTACGCGGCTCTCTCCGAGGCAAAGAGCGCCACGGCAACGAGTGCCCTTACGGAGGTGAGTGCTCCAGGTACCACCGGCAAGTGGGAATGTTCGTTTCAGATTAAAGTAGATTTCCATTCTCCCAGGTATGGAAGGATTATTAAGAAACTAAGCTAATGACAAGATCGAGTGTAATGTGACCATCCAATATAATAAAAGCCAATGTGCACATTGACCTCACGGCAGATTGACCGGTCGCTATGATGCGCACTGACCACCAGGGGCAGACGCTCAATGCAGGCGCTGCCCCTGGCGGGCAGTGAGGCGCTCCCACAGGGTAGTGCCGCTCGGCCGGAAGCCTGGCTCATGGCTGGCCTCCGCGGCAGCGCTAAGGAGCAGCGAGCCTGGTGAGGAGCGGCGAGCAGGCGGGCGGTAAGGACCGAGGGGTCTCGGATTGGCGGACGGCCCCCGAGGGCTCCGGGCTGTGCGAGGGCGCAGGCCAGGCTGAGGGACTCCGCCCCCCTCCTGTGCACGAATTTCATGCACTGGGCCTCTAGCTGATGATAACCACCCAATTTTTTTCCTTCTTCAAGTGGTTCCTTTGAGTCTTAGAAGTGAGTAATTGGGTACAAGTGCTTTGTGAGGTTTGAGGGCTTTGTGTCCGTTGATAAAAAGAAGGAAACGAGGGTCATGGAAAGGGTGTTTCGTGACCTGTTGCTGGAGGTGACCTTGCCCACTCGGTAGGGCGCGCCCCTCTGTCCCCGCTCCTCTGGGTTCCACTCAGCGGCGATGCTAGTGGCGCTGTGTGTGCAGTGGTGCACGTAGTGTGCGTGGTGTCTTGGTTGGCCCCCTCCATGGTCTGATTCTGCTCGGGCTCTGTTCTAAGCTGCTCCATGGAGCATAGTTTACTCTAGGTCAGACCCAGGCCAACGCCGGCCGAACAAACGAGGCGTGCTGCCTGCGGGCTGCGAGTGTGACATGCTTGTACCAGGATGAAGGGTGTGAGAGTGTGTGTGTGTGTTTTATTTTTTATGAGTTTTTGGTTTTTTTAGATCATTTTTGTTGTTCTAAGATAGTTTATAAGATACTGTGGTATTTGTTGTCACGGAAATGTGTGTTTCTAGGTGTTTCTTAACTAAATACCTCAGTCAGCGATAAAAGCTGTTCATCCACTGCATTTTAGCTGCAGTGTTTTTGCTGCTGTGTCATTTTGAGGTGATTCCTAAGGCCTTTGTAATGGCAAAGAGAACTACAAGGAGCAGCTCTGCATGGGCATGCTGTTCCCTGGGGCCTGAAACATGGTGGTCCCTCCCGCACTCCTCAGGCCGGTCTGTGGACGCTGCTCAGGAGTCCGCCTGCTTTCCCGGCGGATAGGACGTGGCCATTGCCTCAGCGTCCGGTATGTGCGCTTGCACCTGCCACAGAGCGAGAAACCGCCAGGAGCAGAGCTGCGGGGATTGGCGGTGCACATAGGGCAGCGCGGTCAGGGGTGAGATCTAAGTGCTGCAAACGGCTTGTTCCAGGTGCAGGAGCCTCCTCGCCCTGCGTCTCCGATGGGACCCCCCGGTGAGGGCGCCTGCTCGGCAGCAGGGTCCCGGCCAGGGGGGCCGGGCGGAGGGGATGGCCCCCCTGAACCTCGGCGGAGCGCCCTGATGTAAGTGTGACCGGCCTCCTTTCCCACGGATGGCGCCTCGTGTGATGCTGCTCGGGCTTGAGGGGGGCTCGCACCCGTGAGGGCTGGAGAAAGAAGCATGTCCTGGCGCTGGAGAGCCGGGAGTGAGCGCCTTCTGGCTGCTGTAGGCCCTCTGTGCAAACTCTCCCTGTTCGCCAGCGCCTCCCTCTGAGAGCAGCGCCCATGCTGAGGAGCCTTGTTGCTCTAACGGGTGTCCGCTGTGCTCTGTGGATCTGTCCTTGGGCCCCAACATGGAGCCTGTGCACAGGGGAGTCCTCGGGGAGAAGGGCAAGCTTGAAAGAATTGACTTTCCTTTTTTCTCTTCTTAAATATATTTTATTGATTTTTTACAAAGAGGAAGGAAGGATAGAGAGTCAGAAACATTGCTGAGAGAGAAACATCCATCAGCTGCCTCCTGCACACCCCCTACTGGGGATGTGCCTGCAAGCAAGGTACATGCCCTTGACTGGAATTGAACCCGGGACCTTTCAGTCCGCAGTCCGACGCTCTATCCACTGAGCCAAACCGGTTTGGGCATGAGTTGACATTATTCTAATCTTTTGAGTAAATGAAACGGGATGCCCAGTCGTTCATTGAACAACTGCTGTGGATCAGACATGGTGAAAACACAAAAGAGTTGATAAATATAAGACACTGGGTTTGTTCTTTTTCAATAAACTATCAGTTGAAAGCAAGCTTTTTGTTTCCAAGGGTGAGTTACAGTTACTGATGCTTCATTTTTGTCAACAGAATGTCAGCTGAAGCCAAAGCCCCTGAAATGAAGGAACCCACTGATGAGGGCATTTCCGACACTGATGACACTGATAAACAATTTGTAGACATCATCGATGAGGACTCTGCAAGAGGAGAAACATTTACCCGGGAGGACCTGGAGGCCCTCCCACCAGACCACGGAGGTCAGTTCATTTGGCTAATCCTTTTGCTTGGCTTTCTTAACTTGAAATTGGCGAATGATGATCTGTGATAGCTTACTTAGTCTTATGTCTAACACGGTATGTTTACAATAGCCTAAAGTAAAGAATTAAAGCGGAATTTAATACTTAGGAAGAGTTGAGCACATTATCCTGAATCTAAGTCCTCAGACCTTTGCCTTCTGGGGAACTGCCTGGGCCTCTGGCTCGGGCCTTCTCCTCGGCCGGCCATCTTCCTTCACACGGGTCCTCGGGGCTCTCCGTGGGGCTGCTCCCCCGAGGGGCCTCTTCAGGCTCATCTCAGATCCCTGGCCAAGAGGGGTTGTCTCCAAGTGTTTTTAAAAAACGTTTCTGTAAGGAGGACATAAAATATTTCTGTCATTATATTCTGTCCCTGTAATAAGAGTGAAATGATCATTTTCCAAACGGTCCCTTTTCTCTCCCTCCTCGTTTCTCTGCAGAAGACGCCAGAGGACCCGTGGGAAGCCCCGAGGGTCCCCACACCATCGCGGACCCGCAGACGTCTCCACGGCCGTTAGAAGTAAGTCTACAAGCAACGGCCCAGGTTACTGAAGTGACACTAAGTGGTGTTTGTCAGCACCTCCGACCAAAGCCCTCATCTCCCAAATCACCCTGTGGGCTGCAGTGTCACTGCGCCCGCAGCGTTTCCTTCCACTGAAATTCTGTCGCTAGTCATGTCAGGCAGTGACATAATGTTCATGTCATGAACTGTGCACCAAATTAAGATACTCAGGAGTGAGGGAGGTACTCTTTACTCAAAATATGTTACTCAGCTGTTGCGTGCAGTGTTTGCACTTACGTGCACTTTTATGTACTACAAGAGACCTGGTGCATGAAATTTGTGTGTGGCGGGGTCCCCTCAGCCCGGCCTGCGCCCTCTTGCGGTCCCGGAGCTCCCAGGGGCTGTCTCTCCTGTGGTGGGGAGCGGCCTAAGCTGGCAGTCAGACTCCCTTAGCGCTGCTGCCGAGGCAGGAGAGCTGGCTGAGCAGTGCACTGTGGGAGCGCACTGACCACCAGGGCCAGCTCCTGTGTTGAGCTTCTTCCCCCTGGGGGGTCAGTGCACCTCATAGTGACCAGTTGTTCTGCTGTTTGGACAGTTTGCATATTAGCCTTTTATTATATAGGATTCTTTTCTCAAAACTGTGAACACTCCATTTCCAGGTGGAATGCAGACATTTCTAATTATTGAAACAATCCTTTAAAAAGGATTAATCTTTCCTGCCTTTCCCATGTTCTCACAATGTACGTATGTAACGATGGCCAGATGCACACGTGTTTGTGAACACATTGTAGTTGAACTTGCCCAGTGGCTCCCGGTGATGGGCAGAAGCAGCGCCCACAGTGTGAGGCCTGGTCAGAGCAGGGCCTGCACTCTCCAGGTTTGGTCTCTCACTGGCTTTGAAACTAGTCCCTCTGGGTGAGCGACTAATGTCAGACTAACTCCTGATGCCTGTGGGTAACGCCTGCTTGTCTCCCTCTTTTCTGTTTGGGTGCCGTTCCTTCTGACAGCACTTGGCAGGAGCGGGTCCGAGCCCCCGGGGGGACCCAGCGGAGACAGGTGCGGAGGAGCAGCCGGCGGCACAGGATGGGTAAGGAGGCGATGGGAGCGAGGGCAGGGGGCGCTCAGGGCTCATCTCGGATTCACTCGATGGGAAGATTAGGTTCTTGTAATTTTCGGTAGCATGTCATGGTGATGCTGTGCTCCTAATGGGATGTAAGTCCAGCTCGTAGCAATGGTGAGTGATGGCTTTAGTAACTTAGACCCCTCAATCTCAGTGGAGTGAAGTCAGTCAAGATATCTAGCCTATTCTCCGATCACTCTCAGCCTTACCCAGGTCACAAGCAGCTGTAAATTCGCCAGGTTTATCCAGGCTGATTAGGGAACTGCCCTTCCGTACTGACTCCCTCCTTATTGGGTCAAATGAAGAACCTTGTGAATGTAATGGTACGTGTAACACTAAGACTGGCATGCAGGAGGCAGCCTAGCCTATGTAAAATCTGTCACTATTGTGGTTAATTATTGTTCACTGTTCATAAGGCTGTGGTGTGTTTCAAGGAGCGCTGAATATTTGAAAGTTTAGAATTGCCTTGCATGAGAGGCAACATAACTAGATTTTCTCTCTCTTCTCTGGGAAAAATTTGTTCGGCTCCGTGGAAAATGAACAAGAAGAATATATTGAATGTCGCGTGCCTTCACAAGTAACAGATATTTCTGTCACTGAAACCAGTCCTCCCGGCTGTGGAGCTGAGAACGGCTCTCTCGTGCTCTGAGCGAAAGGCTGCCCTTGCTCAGGTGGAACCTGAGGTCCCAGCTCACCTGTTTCTCCCCCTCATTGGGACCTCCTGTTTCCGCTGCTGAGCAGGCAGCAGTGTCCACGTCGCCAAGCCATCCAGACGCAGCCGTTGCCTTGGTTTGAGTCTGTTACTAGTTGCTATGGCGACAGATGTAAACAGGTTGTAATTATGAGCTAACACTGCAGAGGCTGCGTTAGAGGTGTTTAGACTCTGACATGGCTCACCATCCAACCGCCTGTCTTACATAATGTGAAGAATATCTTGGTTCCTAAGCGATCGCTAATCTTTAACTGTGTATGATTGAAGCCTTTTCAAACCATGAACACCCCAGTCCTCATTCATTTTGGGTAGACAGAAGTTCAGAAGTTTCTAGGTAAGAGCGTTTGCATACACTACCATTTTATCCTGTTTTATAAATAGGCATGAGAATAAACTGATGCCTCCTGAACCTTTTGAAATAATTACTGAAGGTTTTTGCCAAAAACTAAGAGAAGAATATGAAATCAACTTGAAGCATTAAAAAAGTGACGTAGGCCCTAACCAGTTTGGCTCAGTAGAGTATCGGCCTGCGGACTGAAGGGTCCCAGGTTCGATTCCGGTCAGTATGGGAACCTTGGTTGTGGGCACATCTCCAGTGGGGGGTGTGCAGGAGGCAGCTGATTGATGTTTCTCTCTGTCCACCTTCCTTTCTCTCTGTAAAAAATCTAAACGTATTTTAAAAAAAGTGACGTAGGTACACCTTTCTGACAGCTTTAAGTGACTTAGGGAAAGATGTTCCTCTAACAGGTGTGTTTTACGGAGATACAGGAACTGTTTTAGAACAGGCTTTTCTGAAAAAGCAGTGGCTCCCTTATGGAAAGATGTGGCAGGTCCTCACTCTCAGCCTGGAGCAGGTTTCCAATCGCGGTAGAATGTCTCATCGGTGAGCATCCGCGTCCCGCCTGCCGCTGCGTGTGTGCAGGGCGGGCGGGGTGTCCGTGTGAAATCTGGGGAAGCAGGACCGTGAGCCCACCTTCACTTGGAAACCTTCTCCGTCCTGAGCATTGACCTCCCTGCTCCTGTGGAAAGCAGAGGCTAACAGCAGTGTCTGAAACGGGCACACGAGTTTGAGGCCCGTTTTTTCACAGATTTGACAAAGGAGAGCTTTTGTTCTCATGTACTAGATGTTTGGTAAAAGGCAGATATTGTTGAGAAGAAATGAGAGCAGGCCCCGATGAATCTAAAAGTGATTTAGAACGTTCCTTTCTCGTTAGAGACAATGATCAGTTATTTGGATAGGATAATGCCTGCTCCCTTATTTAGTTTAGGAAATTGATTTGCTTAGAATACATTGAGTACCTGCTATGTTTAAGGAATCATCCCCAAATAGTCATTTTAGTTTGTTGGTTAGGGTTTAATTATAAACACAAACTCTGATTTGTTTGGAAATGAAATATTCATAATACTGTTATTTCACATTTAATGATCAGTGTGGGTTTGCTGTATAGCAAACTTAGAACTAAATATTTATTTATTTATTTATTTTTACATATTTTATTGATTTTTTTTGCCCCCCTCCCTCCCTTCCACACATCCCCTCCCTCCCCAGAGTTTTATGTCCATTGGTTGTGCTTATATGCATTGGTTGTGCTTACAAGTCCTTCGGTTGATCTATTATCTCCCCCAGATCCTCCTCCCCTCCCCGCTGTAGTTTGACAATCTGCTTGTTGCTTTACTGTCTCTATATCTATCTTTTGGTTCATCAGTTTATAATGGTCTTTATTATCCACAAATGAGTGGGGTCATGTGGTGTTTTTCTTTCACTGACTGGCTTATTTCACTCAGCATGATGTTCTCCAATTCCATCTAGGTTACTGCAGATGATGAGAATTCCTTCTTTTTTATGGCAGCATAGTATTCCATTGTGTAGATGTACCACAGTTTTTTGATCCAATCATCTGCCGATGGGCACCTAGGCTGTTTCCAAATTCTGGCTATTGTAGATTGTGCTGCTATGAACATAGGGGTGCATGTATCCTTTCTGATTGGTGTTTCTAGTTTCTTGGGATATATTCCTAGAAGTTGGATTACTGGGTCAAATGGGAGTTCCATTTTCAGTTTTTTGAGGAAACTCCATACTGTTCTCCACAGTGGTTGCACCAGTCTGCATTCCCACCAGCAGTGCACGAGGGTTCCTTTTTCTCCGCAACCTCGCCAACACTTGTCGTTTGTTGATTTGTTGATGTTGGCCATTCTAACAGGTAGAATTAAATATTTTTTAACCCATCTTAGAATTAAACATTTTTAACCCATACATTCCCTGTTTTCTTTTTTAATTTTCTTATTGTTTTTATTGATTTCAGAGAGGAAGGGAGAGGGAGAAAGAGCTAGAAACATCAGTGATGAGAGAGAATCATTGATTGGCTGCCTCCTGCATGCTCCCTACTGGGATTGAGCCTGAAACCCAGGTACCGGGAATTGAACCAGTGACTTCTGGGTGCATGGATGGATGCTCAGCCACTGAGCCACACCAGCCAGGCACATTCCCTGTTTTCGTGACTCCATTCTGGGACATTAAACGTAGTTAAAAACACGCACATATTCTCAAACCCAATTAGGTAGTGTGTGCAGCGGAAGGAGGGTGGCACAGGTTTCACTCACGTGCCTGCAGGGACCAGGCGAGTAAAACGTGTGAGTGTCCTGTTGTCCGGCGGGAGAGGACCATGGCTGAGCGCGGCCACGTCTCTCGGGAGAGCATGGCCGGCCGGGGTGTCTGTGGGGCGGATGTGGGGGCACCGGAGGCAGGCGTGGCGCTTGCATTTCCTGAAAACCTTCAGGAAGCTGTGGGAGCAGCGGAAACGAGTAGGGTCCGAGTACCCAGCTCGTAGACGTGTAACGTGCTGCGGTGGTCGACGTGGATTGTGTTGGTTCGCTCCGCAGGGCGCAGCCCCCGGCCTGCGAAGAGGGGGCGGCCCCGGCTCCGCCCGCGGGGCCCGGTGGGGTCAGCGTGGCCTCCCAGACCCTGGTGCCCGCGCCCCCGCGCGGCCGGCCCCGGGCGCGGCTGCCCGCCTCTCCCGGCTCCGGCGCCGCCAGGCAGATGCTGCAGGACGAGATGCTCAAACTAGTTCAGGTGAGCCCTCGGCCACGATGGGGAGGCCACAGGATGCGTGTGATTCTCTCACGTGGACACCCTCCGGGAAGGGCGTGCTGACATGGCATCGCCCGCTTCTCTGCTGTGGGCACCCTGGTGTCCGGAAGCTCCGATCCCGGGCCCGGAGCTGCCTGGTGCTGTCAGCCAGGCCGCCCCTTAGGCCTCGCTCACAGGGAAGCCGTCACGGTCATCTGTCCATCGTGGTTCGGGCAGGGGCCGGTGAGGACCTCCGCCCTCCCGTTAGGGCCTCCTCTGGGGCGGGGGGACGCGGTGACCCCGGACCTGCCGAGGTGGGTGTGCCGGGCTCAGCACACTGCGCGTGGGGGGGGCAGCCTCCCGGGTTCCTGCTCCGGGGCAGCTCCTGAACACAAAGCCCGTCTCTCCCTTTCACTGAAAGCCCCAGGCCTCCCGCCCAGCCTCCTGGGTCTCCGAGCAGACAGCCGTGGGACAGGTGGAGGAGCTGATGGCTGTTGGCTCTTTGTGCTTTTCTCCATCCCATTCTCAGGTGTTGCCCTGACTTTGATTTTCTTGCAGCTGCAACAGATCAACTTCCTGACGCTGATGCAGATGGCCGGGCCCTCCCTCCCCCGCCTCCCGGGCACCCCCACCCCCGGGCTGGCGCCGCAGCCGCAGCCCACACACCCCGAGGGGAGCCCCGCGGGGCGCCCGGGGCCCGGCCCGCCTGGGGGCAGCGGTGGGGACGGCCCCCGGGCGAAGCTGGAGGAGAAGCTGCCAGCCCAGCTCCCGTCCCCGGGGCCGCCCGCTGGGGGGCCGGCCGCTGGGGGGCCGCCCGTGCAGAGCGCCGTGCAGAGCGCCGTGCAGAGCGCCGTGCAGAGTGGCGGAGACCGTTCGCAGGTAGCCCCCTGGGCAGCCCCACCCCTCCCAAACACACTGAGCAAATAAGGAGTTTGTTACACATTTCCACCTTGCCCAGTGGATTTCTTCTCTTCCAGAATGTTCCACCTGGGTGTCTTCCTTGTCCGTTGGAAGGCCAGCCTCGGAACAGCGGTCTGAACTCAGCAGCCGGGAGCTCACTGCCCACCCCGCTGCCCCCGGGCCCTGCTGGCCACGCTGCCCTCCCGCTCCTGGCCGCACCCCCCGGGCCCCCCGCCACCGCCAGGCCGGCCGGGGCCTTCCCGCTGCTCCGGCTGCAGCCCGGCCCCCAGCCCCGGGCCTTCCCTGCGGACCGCGCCCCGGGGAGCCCGCCCCGCGGCTCCCGCCAGCGCCCTGCGCCCCCCGGGATGCCCCCCGGGGCCTGGAGCCCGCGGCTCGAAGCAGGGCAGAAGCCGGGGCCGGGGACCGGGGTGCCCGAGGCCCCCCAGCACTTGAACTTGGACCAGTACCTGGGGCAGGACACCGGGACGCCTCGGCTGGACGCGGCCTTGTTCCTGCAGCCCCGAGGGTGTGACGTGGCCCCTCAGGGTCCCTTCGGGTTCCCGCTGCTGCACCTGCGGCCGCCCCGCACCTTCACCTTCTTCTCCGTGTCCCGCGCCCCCGGGCCGGCCCCCTGCGCGCCCCTCGGAGCGAGCGAGCGCCCCGGCTTCTCCTTCCTGCCCGCCCGCCCGGCGCCCGAGGACATGGTAACTACTGCCCGGGGTCCCTCGCCGTGCCCCTGCGCTCGCTCCTTCCAGAAATGTGCTGCTTGTGCTGCTTGTTGACAGCCCATGCAGACGCCGTTCAGAATAATGGGCGTATTCTAAAGGTTTCAGGTCTTGTACGTTAACACTGGAATTTGCTGAATGCTTCCACACACGTTTCTTCTCCTCTCAGAAGACATAAATAGCAAAGTAAAATGCCGTGTGTGTGAGAGTGTGTGTGTGTGTGTGTGTGTGTGTGTGTGTGGAGGGAGGGAGAGAGAAAGAGAGAGGAAGAGAGAAACAGAGAAGAGCATTGTTCAAGGCTCCTAGCAGTTGTGATATGATTGCTTTCAAATCTGTTACTGTTAAAATGGTTAAATAGACTAGGTTTATAAATAGCTGCAAATATTAAAAAATGATGTCTTTTTAAAGTACTTAAACCACAACAGATTGAATCTTAAGGCCACCAAAACTTCTTACTTATGAAGTTCAGATTGGTCCCTTCTCATTTTGTGAGTTGGTAGTACCATCCTAGGAGGAAATTAAGTAATCATTTTCTAGTTCACTTTTAGGGTTTGAAGATGAGAAAAGGGGAAGGGGAGGTAGGAGAGGGTAAAGGAGATACATGGAGATGGAAGGAGACTTCACTTGGGTGGTGACACACCATACAACGTACAGATGATGCGTTATGAGATGGGACACTTGGAGCCTGTAATTTTGTTAACCAGTGTCAATCCAATTAATTGAATTTAAACAAAGCTTTGAAGATGGAACCAGGAGAAGAAATGGTCATTTCCTTAGAAAAAATACTTAGCATGCTTTCCCTTCTTCTGAACATGTTTTGAACAGGGAAAAAAAGAATAAAGGGTAGAAAGACATTTTGAGAAGGATTTAAAGTCTTTCTTATTAGAGAGAATAATATTTCAGCATGGGTGGTTACCCACATCCTGTTATGTGCTAGTCTGTTCATTCATACTCCCACCCTCTTGCGTCCTCCCTGTTCCAAAGAATTTAAAATCAAATGCTAGGCATGTAATTTCATTGATAAGAGGACGATTTTTAACCTGGACAAGAAAGGAAGGAGATGAGGACTTGTAGCTTCACTTTTGGAATGGGGCAGCCCAGTTGGCATTCTCAGCACGCCGCTGTCATTTATTCTTTCAGATCAGGATCTCACTTACTCGTCCACCCAATGTGTTGTCTTTGACCTGTTCACCTCTTGCACATCTTAGTTTAATTTAAACAAATGATTTTCTCCAGTATTTTATTAGCACGTTGCATAATTGAGGTATGTACTTGTAAGTAAATACTCTGTTTCTTCCCCTGTAGTACAGACACCCACAGCTCACTCTGATCGAAAACCTCATTGCGTGTAAACGAAGCCAACCGAGACCGACCCCGGATTTCCTGGAGCGAGGCGACCCCGGGCTCCTCCTGCTTGGAAAGGACAACGGGGAGCCTCCTCGCGTGCGGCCAGGGCAGGACGGCAAGAAAAGGCAAGGTCATCCGTGACAGTCATCTGTGACAAAGTCATCCTTCCAGACTTCCTCTGGACGAAGACAAGCCCCTTGCGTGAATTTCATGCATCGGGCCTCTTCTGTAGCTATAAACTGGAAGTGAACTGGCTCAAACTCCTACCCAAACACAATTGCGTATTCAGTTTCCTTGTCGGGTGTCCTGCATTGGAACCATCTGGGGTCAAGGAAAATCCGTGTTGTGAGAGACAGATACTGTTATTTTTTAAAGATATTTTTAATGATTTTCAGAGAGAGGAAAAGAAACATTGATGTGAGAGTGAAACATGCATCGATGGCCTCCTGCACACCCCTACTGGGGTTTAAGCCCAAAACCTGACCAGGAATCAAACTAGTAGCCTTTGGGTGCTCGGGACAACACCCAGTCAGCTGAGTCACACGGCCAGGCTGGAGACAAATACGTTATTTGTTCCGTTTCAGTGAGCAGGCCTTCCCCCGCACCCAGCGGGCGGCTCCCTGCCTCTCCTGAGGCAGCACAGACCTCCGGGTCCTCCCGGGCCCTCCGCGCCTTACCGCCCTCCACGCTCACCTAGGAGGTGGGGGGTGAGTGAGGGGCCGCGGCCGGTGAGGGTGAGCCTGTGCCTGTCCCAGGAAGGCTGTGCCTGAGGAAGGGCCCTGTGGTGTTTACCATCATGGATGCTCAGTACGGGTGCAGTGTTTATGTTTATGACCCTAAGTTCTGTTCTCAGCGCTTTCGTTCCAGAAGCGGGTCGGTCCTTCATGTTTCCAGTGTTCCCTCTTCCGAGTGAGCCTCCCTGAGGGAGGTCTCCGCAGAGGAGGGAGCTTGAAACCCCCTCCCGGGTGCCCTGGCCTGAGACTCCCTCCGGGGTCCCCGGAAAGCCCGCCGCCAGCGGAGGAGCTGGAACGGCGTCGTGTCCCCAACGTTGGCTCGAGTTTGCTTCTATTGTGCAGGCTCTCTTGCTAATGCAGTTAAATGCCATTGAAAAGAGTCTGTGGACATAATCCCATGACCGTCTCCCTGTGGCATGATACGGATGGAACACTGTCACGACAGTAGGAATACATTTCGCACTGTGTCTTCCCCAGGCAGAGGCGGCGGGCGGAGAGAGAGCTGCAGGAGCAGCGCTCCGAGAAGCAGAGGAGAAGGCCCAGTGCGGCCGAGCAGCCAGACTCCGCCGTGCTGCCTGCCCCGGACTCGGGGGCAGCTGGGAAAGCCGAGGTACATCCCTGCCTTCTCCCCACCTGTGCAGCCAGAGCCCGGGGGGTGGGGTGGGGCTGGAGCACCGATCGTGATCTGCAGACTCTGATCGAGGCACAGTGTGAGGTGGAACCAGCTCCATGGCCAGTCACAGGCGGCGGCTTAGAGCCTCTGCCGTCACTGCCTGTTCCTGATGCGGGGGCACCCTGGTGTGACTGGGTGTCCCTGCTTCAGTTTCCTCTGTCCAGAGGGGCCTCTGGCAGGGCCCACACCTGATTGTGCAGCCGGTGGGGGAAGTCAGACCTTCCGACACTCCTAAACGTATGACCGGCTCCCCTAGCTTTGCAACGACAGGGTGAAGTAAATGGACGGCTTTGTTCGCGCGGCGTTTACCGGGCACAGGAAGTCCTCATTAGCCGGCCCACGAGGAAATCTGCCCCGAGGGGTGCGGGGAGCTGAGCCTGCTCTGCAGAGGGAAAGCAGAAGCTGTGGCCTCCTCCTTTAGGGCCTGACTTGGGACTTCAGGAGCTCCTTTTAGGGTTACTTTGATGGAGTCAATAACTTGATAGACTAAGTAAATATTTCTAGAATTAAGGGATTTGAACCTATTCCCAAGACTTAACCATGCTCAGAGATTTAAATATATTTTTCAAAACAATAAATGCCGTTGAGCTAACTGTAGGTTGATGGTTTGGGATTCGTTTAGGAGCAGCGAGAGCATCGTGGTTCCCAGACGCTGGAGGCCTTTGAGATCCCGCTGGGTATGTATGTGCCGGTGCCTGGGGTCTGAGCTCAGTCACAGTCCGCTTCCAGACCACGCATCTAGATAAAACGTCTAGATAAAAAGGAGGCTACATTCTTCCCCTGTGACCTGACACTGCGGTGCGTGCATGCGTGTGAGAGAGAGAGAGAGAGAGAGAGAGAGAGAGAGAGAGCAAGCAAGCACCCCTGACAGACCAGGCCACAGGCAGGTGCGGCCACGCCTGCTTCTGGAATTGGGTTTCCCTGAAACGCAGCCGTCCCGGGGTGCACGTTGTCTGGGCGGCCCAGTGCTGCTGGGAGGGATTGCGTGGTTCACGAAGCTTATTCTCTCCGGCCCTTCCCAGAGCAAGTTTGCCGACCACTGCCGGGGAGCAGCGCGTCAGTTGAAGCTCAGATAACATGCTGGTGTTTAACGCCTGGGGATGTACTGAGGCTGAGGGACCTTTGTGCTGGGAATGGGGCAAAGCCAGCCCTGTGCTTTTATTATAGCGACACCCCGTCACTGACACTGACTGCTAGGCCCTGGTTACCCCCAGGAAAACCCATCTCACCCAGACTCCCCAACAGCCTGGACTGGCCCCTCCTCCCGCCGCACCTTCCCGTGGGTGCAGCTGCCTCAGGCGGCGTGGACAGCCGAATTCACCATCCCTCCCCCACCGGCTGGCTTGTTCTCTCACAAACCCCAAACTCAGGTCCTCCTGGGGTCTGTCTGCCCCCCCTCCCGGGTGCTCAGCCTCTCGGTCTCTGCCATCCCCACCGTCCCTGTCTGGCTGGCTCCGCGGCAGCTGCACCCTCAGACCCCTGTCCACACCCCAGCCGGTGGTTTCAGATCACCAGTCTGACCACGTCACCCCCCGCCAACCATGACTGCTCATGGAGGCCGGGCCTGCAGAGTCCCACAACGTGGGTTTTGGTGCCCCTGGGCTGCCTCGGAGTCAGCTGCCACCGGGTTCGGAAAGCTCTGCCCTCGGCCTCGCCTCCCTTGCGGCTCCCTGCCTGCCCTCGCCGATGGGTCTGTTTGTTGCAGAAGCGCTGCAGGGGGACGCGGCCACGGCCGCCGGGCTGCACTACCTGGCCGCTGTGCGCAGCCGCGCGGTGGGCCGCCAGGACGCCAGCACCAACACGGACCCAGGTACCTGCTCTCCGAGAGTCAGACTTTCACGTACTCTGCAGCATGTAATCTAGTTAGACTTTTTCTTCAAAATGATGTAGGGGATTTTAAATTACCTGGTGGTAGTCTGTCATCCCAGGTTCTTGTCCCCAACCCTGATACGTGCTTTACACGTTTTAAACTTAAAACCACATTTCCAGCTGAATTTGTGATAATAACTGGAAGCATAATAGAGATGTTTGTTCTGAGATGCCATGGGCTGCACCCTAATCCCAGACAGAACGCCGAGCTCTGGCCTGAGGCCGGGAGGCGGGTGTGGCTGGAACAGGTGAGTGGGGGCCAGGTTGCCAGTGCTGCAGGGAGGGCCGCCAGCTCTGCCTGGGAGGGAGACAGCGGTGAGGATGTCCTACTGACAGCTTAGGCCCCTCCCCGTGGTTCTCTGCTCTCTGCGGGCCTGCCTGTCCTGCATCGTGGTGACAGCCAAGCAGGCTGGCCCACCTGGAGTTGCCGATTCAGCCCTGCCTGGCTCACCGGCTCTGCAGCAGCCACAGCTGCTCTGGGTCCGGCCCTGCCTCCCTCACCAGCCCTTAAAGCAGCCTTGCAGCTGCTGACCAAGCCCTCCCCCAGCTCAGGTGCGCGACCTCCTCCTGTCTGGTCAACCCCTTACGGCATCCTGGTTAATTAGCGTTTTTCTCTATTAAAAAAAACTTACGTGCTTCCAGATCTTGGCTATTGTAAATTGCTGCAATGCACATAGGGGTGCATCCATTCTTTTGAATTAATAGTTCGTGTTTCCTTGAATATATTCCCAGAATTGGAATTGCTGGGTCGTTAAGGCAGTTGCATTTTTAATCTTTGAGGAATCTTCATACTGTTCTCCACAATGGCTGCACCAGTCTGCATTCCCACCAACAGTGCACGAGGCTCCCTTTTCTCCACGTCCTCACCAGCTGCTATATTTGTTAATTTATTGATGATAGCAATTCTGACAGGCTTGGTGTGATAACTTATTGTGGTTTTAATTTGCATTTCTGATGACTAATGACCTTAAGCATCTTTTCATGTGTCTGTTGGTCACCTGTGAGACGTTCTTAAATAAGATAGCGCTTGGGTGTTCTTTGCTGGTTCATCTAAAGTCTGCAGTCTGTTTGTCAGCTAATGAGCCCAGGAGATAATAATAAAATATGAAGTTATTAATTTTTAAAAATTAAAAATTTAAGCTGTCAGTCTACTTTTCTACTATCTTTTATAGCCAGTAGTCTAAAAATCTGCATTTATGTATTTATTTTTCCCTGTGATTATGAAATCCTTTTTCTATTTCTCTCTCTGCCTCAAATCTCCTAATTGACAACCAGAAAAAGCTGCTGCTTCTCAAGTGGTATCTGAATGTCGGGAAAATCCACAAGCCATTTCCTCCATACCAGGTGGGATTTCTTCCTTTAAAATTTTTTTTGAAAAAGCATGACTGTTAAAGATTGTCTGCATGATGTCAAAACATTAGATTCTCCTCTCCCTCCCATGAAAAAGCATTCATATCAATCCCTGGATCTGATAGAGACAGATAGTAACTAAAGTATTTTCATTTCCTGTCTTCTCGTTTTATAGTGTTCGTAAGGTATAAATTCAAGCCCAGGTACCAAATTTCCAGTTCTCACTATGACAATGAGTTCTGGTTTGCATATGGAATTTGAAAGTACTGTTCTATTAAAAATAGACGGAAATAAGATTGGAGTCCTAGGACAAGAGACACTGAGTTAGATGTCTGCTGACCTATTGAGACAGGGTTCTTTATTTTACTTTTGAATAAGAAGTTAAATGAGTTGTTTTTTAAAAAAAAATATTTTATTGATTTTGTACAGAGAGGAAGGGAGAAACATCGATGAGAGAGAGTCATCGATCAGCTGCCTCTTGCACACCCCCCACTGGGGATATGCCTGCAACCAAGGCACATGCCCTTGACCAGAATCGAACCCCGGACCTTTCAGTCCCCAAGCCGACGCTCTATCCATTGAGCCAAACCAGTCTCGGCTAAATGAGTTTTTTGTTTTGTTTTGTTTTTTAAATATATTTTATTGATTTTTTACACAGAGGAAGAGAGAGGGATAGAGAGTTAGAAACATCAATGAGAGAGAATCAATCTGCTGCTTCTTGCACATTCCCTATTGGGGATGTGCCCACAACCAAGGTACATGCCCTTGACTGGAATCGAACCTGGGACCCTTCAGTCCGCAGGCTGACGCTCTATCCACTGAGCCAAATCGGTTTTGGCAAGAAATTAAATGAGTTTTATACAATTTAGGTGTTAAGCATTTTGAGTAGTAAAATTTATCTGTGGACTCTGTGAATTAGGTCCCCCTCAATAAAGCTATTTAAATAAACAGATAAACAATGTTGAAAGCAAAAAAAAGGAATTAGTGATTCTTAAATAAACAAACATGACTTACTATGATATGAAATGGAAAACAGGAAATACAGTATTTTCTCGATTTGCATACTTTATTATAATTTGAATCATTCATATGAGAAAAGCAAGAGCCAATCTCCATTCAGTTAAGAATTACTCTAGAGTAAGTGATACCTGTGAACAAACACATGCTGTTTGTCGATCACTTGTTCTTACAAAGCTCATGACTTAGGAGTGATCGCAGGTTCTTATCCTCCCGAGTTCTCTTTTCATTTCAGAATGTGAGCCTTTGCCTGTCCGCCAGGCGTTGCCTGCAGATGTGCTTCCGAATCTCAGCCTTCCCCCTGGACGGGCAGAGAAGCCGTTGTCACCTTCAGCCTCGGACACGGTATGGCATTGGTCTGGGTTTTGTTCAGAAGTTTTCATTATAGCTTATGCCAAAATGTACATGGTCATCCTCATTACTCAAGTGATTGGACGAAATGCGGCTGCCAGTCTCACCTGTGCCGCCTGCTGGCAAGGTTAGATATGATGCCCTAACGTTCTACGCTGAGATGACGGCAGTGCTTCCGCAGCTTTCCCTGAGTGGCCTGGGAGCCCTCCTTGCCCTCGGAAGCGGACTTTCTATGGGTTGGGGGTGGGGGTCGGGGGTAGCGGGGCCGTAGAGTAAAGCCCGTAACTCCCTGTGACTCTGTGCTCTGGCTCAGGTGGGACACACTTACATAAACGTGATTGACATTGAAGCCGGCGACCTGCAGGAGCTGCCTGTCAGAGAGCCCTCCGAGGAGGATGCCCCCCCATGGCAGGCGGCAGGCCCGTCCCCGGCTGCGTTACATCACATGGCCGCGGCCGTGGCCGCGACCCGGGCTGCTGCCCTGCGCAGGGTGAAGAGCCACGGTAGTGCCGCCCTCAGCGTTGCTGACCTGCTTCCCTCCCCCTCTGCCCTGCCAAGTCCTGCGGCAGGATGCTTGTATTTGTGCTCAGGGTGAGCGGTTAATCCTCCCAATTCCTCGTTCAGCAGCGTAACCAGTCTTTTCTGCCTTAGCTTTCCCGGCAGGACCGGCCAGCTCTGCGGGGGACTTACCTCTCCCCCCGGCACAGGCATCGCCATCCCCATCCGGTGTGGAGGGGGGAAGCTGGGGCGCAGGCACTGCCCACGCCGAGGAGCCCGGGGCCCCCTCCCCTCCATGGTCAGAGAGGACAGTCACAGAGGACAGAGGTGAGCGCCCCGCACAACACCGGAGCTGCCCCTTCCCCGGCGGGCCCCAGGCACACCGGCACTACCACCTGCCATTGCAGAACGAACAGAAGCGGCTCCCTGGCCGAGGAGTGGGGCCAGGTGGTAAGTGTGGGCGGGCTGGGCCACGGGTATTTTGCAGGGCGGCTGCAGATGTCTCCTCTCAATCAGTGAGGTTAGCAAAAAATGCCCTGTGGGATTTAATGAGATTTTTGGCATAAAAAGGAATTCTCATATTTAAAAAGGTAGGAAATCCTAGAAAAGCACATAGGAATACACAGGCACGGTAGCCAACAGTGCTTTGTTAGTAAAATACTGAGTTTTATAGCCATAAATCAGGTTGCATTAATGTAAAATACTTGCAAGATTAAGAAGGTGATTTCTTCAAAACCTGGTCGGTCACACACCACGTGAGTGACTGGATGAATCACACATGCGGCCTCCAGCGGTCACCTGGGGGAGGCACGGCCCAGTGGGCTGCCAGGTGCTGGGTGCCGTCAGCACTGCCTGCCCGCAGGGCCAGCATCTCGGACCAAAGGCTCTGCCCTCCCGCCGGGCCTGCCAGCTGCCAGGGCTGCCAGCTGCCTGGGGCGGAGGAGACATGGGAGGCTGGGCGCTCAGCCGGAGCAGGAAAAGCGTGGACTTCACATGCAGACAGAGCAGACCTGGGCGTCAGCCCCGCTGCCCCTGCCCGGGGCCTGCACGCTGAGCTGGATCTGGCCCTCCTGTGCCTGTGGTGTCCTCATGGCTCCGAAGGCTGATCCAGCCCAGCCTGTGGCTCCCGATGCCTCCATAGTTCCCCTTCGTTTCATAGCCATTGAATTCCGAAATTTTGAAAATAGAACCAGACCCCTCGCTCTGTGACCACTGAATGCGTCGGGCAGCGTTTCAAACAGCAGCTGATGTCCCCTGCCAGGGGAGCGAGTCCTACCCTCCTTTGAGGGGTGCTTGGTGGGGGACTGCCTGGTCAGGAGGATGCCAGTGGACCCGCTGTACTTATTACAGAGAAGGACTTAGCAATGCCTGTTTAAAAGGAAGACGTTTAAAATTAAATGTTATTACGGCAACGTTTATTACATAAAATACTGTAAAGGCGGAGGATAGGCAGTCACCCGGTAGAGTTGCCTGGGATTTGCGTTATTGGAAAATGGAGGGGCGGGGCCTAGGCTTTTAAAATGGAAAACAAACCAAACTACAAACCCGTTTTAGTGGGAACTCACTCGTTATTTCTGACACAGCTGCTGCGTATTGCAGAAGCACCTCCTGTGGGGACTCCGCAATAATAGCAGCAGCGTGGCTGGGCGAGGGGGAGCCCCGCAGCCACGGGACTCAGGTCCCCTCCGGGTGATGAGCCCACGACACTGGGTGTGCAGGCTCTCCGGGAAAAGGGAAGCTGTTTCGTGAGGTCTGCTGGCCATTTGGGCCTGGGGATGTCCATTTCTTTCGCTGCATTTTCTTTTTACTGATTTCAGAGAGAAGATGAGAGAGAAACATCAATGATGAGAATCATGGATCGGCTGCCTCCTGCTCGCCCCACACTGGGCATCGAGCACCCAACCTGGGCCTGTGCCCTGACCTCCCTGGCTCATAGGTTGACGCTCAACCACTGAACCACGCCGGCGGGTTTTTTGCTGTGTTTTCTCTTTGAAGTTGACGCACCAGATTCTTCCCTGGGAGTGATGAGGGAGGGGAGACTTTCAGGCTGCTGGCAAACAGGAGGGGCAGGTGGTAGAGTGCTGAGGACAATAACAGGTGCAGCCTAAGCCACTGGGGAAAGATCACCACCCATGTGCCAACCTGGAATGTGCCTCCATCTTCCCATGGAAGGTCCTCCAGGACGAAAGACAATAGCACTGCTTACATTTGCTCAGTAACCCACGTCTCAGAGTGTTTTGCCCGTAGCTTGATCTTCACAACCTCCGAGGAGGCAGGTCAGGAGGGCTGACTGCCTGAGATACCCTCAGAATCAGGAATGGCCAGCGTGGGGTCTAGCTTTCACTGTGTGATATTGTTGGTGAAAAGTTGCTTTTTTAAATATTTTTGTAGCAGAGGATAAAAGTAACATTCAAGCCTGGCTCGTGTTGCTCAATGGTTGAGCATTGCACTACGAACCGGGAGGTCATGGTTCCAATCCCGGTCAGGGCACATGCCCAGGCAGGCTCGATCCCCAGTGGGCGTGCAGGAGGCACCGATCAGTGATTCTCTCCCATCATCGATGTTTCTGTCTCTCCCTCTCCCTTCCTCTCTGAAATCAATAAAAAAAAAATTAAGTAACATTCAAACTGCCTTGTATGTAGAAGACTGTGGTCACAGTAACACTTTTATATTCTTACCTCACAACAAAGACAAATGGCATCTCTAAGTCTGTGATGAAAAGTGACTTGGAATGGGGTTTTACGTCACTTACATTGAGATCTTCCCAAAGGTCAGATCTGAGCACCTCCATCTGCCTGATTGTAATCAGTTCTCTCATCACCTTATTGATACTCAGGCGAGCCGGAGCCAGCTTTCCAAGGCCAAGAAGAGCGCTCCCAGCCCGCCGCCTGGGAAGGGGAAGGGGAAGGGGAAGCAGAAGCGGAAGGGGGCGGGCTGCGGGCCTACCTGCTGCAGGAGCTGCTGGAGGGCGCCCCCCGCCCCGGCCCCGCGCCCCGCCCCGCAGCGCACCCCCAGCTGCAGCGCCTCAGCTCGCAGCTCCGCAAGATGGACCAGCAGCTGCTGGCCATCCAGAGCATCGCCCACCGCGTGGAGCAGGACTTCCCCGAGCGCGGGATACTGGGCCCGGCGGCAGGCCGGCACTGCCGGGAGGTAGGCGGTCTTCGCTGAGCTTTCATCACCGAGTTATCAGATTTTATAAACGAGAGAGGCCAGGTAACCGTGTGGGTCGGGGCGGCTGTCCCCATTGCAGGCTTCTGGTGGCCTCCCTCCCTGGTCTGGCTGCCAGCTGCCTCCAGCTTCTAAGGAGGGAACTGAAGCTTCTCCCAGGAAAACACACATATGACTTATAAAGCCAGATGTGTTTTGAAACAAACAACCTTTGTTGTTGAAAGTATGACAGATGTCCCTTCGCTAATCTTCCAGCCCACCTCCCCCAGGCCCTTACCCCCCCCCCCCCCCCCCGCTGTCATTTTATCATTTTCCTCAGCAAGATTTTTATAACTTTATAAATACTGTCCTTCTATTTGGATTTCCCAATTTCTTTTAATTATACAATGGATTAGTAGTCCTTACAAGTTTTCTATTTCTTTAAAAAGTATTTATAATAAAAAAGATTAATTTTTATATATATTGGTATATCATGATCGACAACTACCTAGAAAGGAAGTCTCCAACATTTGTTAATTATTTTGCACAAATGTCCTTATTTAGGAAGTAAAATTTATGTAAAATAAAGATTAAGAAATAAATAGTAAAGATATTTGGAATGCATCAGAGACTTTATTGGGAAATTCAGATTGGTCTGCAGGATAAGAATTCCATCCCTGCCCTGGCTGGTTTGGCTCAGTGGATAGAGCATTGGCCTGTGGACTGAGGAAGTCCTGGTTCAATTCCCAGTCAGGGCACGTGCCCGGGTTCCGCGGGCTCGATCCCCTGTGTGAGGCATGTGGGAGGCAGCCGATTGGTGATTCTCTCTCATCATTGATGTTTCTCTCTCTCCTTCCCTCTTCCTCTTTTAAGTCAATAAAAATATATATTTTAAAAAGAAAAAGAATTCCATCCCTGACATACCAACACCACACTGGCATGCTGACAGGTTAAAGATGTATTTCTCAATCCAGATATTGAACACCCATTAAAAAGATTGAACATATGAGAAACTACACTAAAATATATGGCGTAAGACAGTGCACCAGGTAATGATGCGAAGTGCCTTGAAGGAAATAGTACTGACTTACATGGCAGGTTTAGATTCTGGTTAGGATGGTCTCTTCCTTTAGAAAGCACACGCAGGAGCAGAGCTGCTGGCTTGCCCTTTCAGGGGAGAAAGCAGCTGGTGGGCCTGGAGGAAGCGGGCTCCGTGGCCAGCGCTGACCAGGAGCCTTGAAGGCCGGTGCAAGGCCATGCTGCCTCTGCGGAAGCCACTCGGCGTCTCTGGGCCATGGCCTCTCATCTTCAGAACAGAAAGTTTTGTCTGGATGGGAGCTGACGTTGCTCCCTTCTCTAAAATTACATGACATGATGCTGTTTTCCTGAGCTCTTCAAAGGTTAAATCAGTTACGCCACAAATAAGTAAAACTTCCCTTTCTTTCATTTGCTGCATTAAGGCAAATGCTTAAAACCTCCATAAAGTTGTTTACAATAATTTGAAATAATTTGCACTGTAAAGTTTGTAACAGCGGTTCTGTGGTGTGGTTTTTTACAGGTTGAATCTGTGGATGCCATTGAATTGTCTTCTGGCCCTGAGTCTGAAAACACACTGGCTTCAAAGCCCATTGCCATTTCCAGAGAAGGTTTGTGGGAGCTGGCTGGGAGGGGCTTGCCAGGCCTTGCTGTGAAAGATACTGAGCATCGCCTTTGGGGACGTCGGGTGCGGACGGTTCTTGTTGAGTTGAGCTGTCAGCCCTTGTCTAGATCGGGGTCCCCGGTGTGGGAGTGAGATTGGCTCCATGACAGCTCCCTTTCTCTGAGAGGCCGATGCTGCCCCTCTCCTGGCATTTTTGATGCTGTTTGCAGGAGCATTTTTTTCTTTATTTGGTCCACATGGTATGTGGGACCTTCTCACTCCGCTCCCTCTCAGCCACTTCTCAGCTGCCAGCATTCCTTTCCGTGATGTGCTTGCTGCCTTTTAGTCTGCGGTTCTCTCTTCTGCCCTGTCATCTCTGCTGTAGCAGCTCAATTTTGGTGACTACGTTATGTCTAGAAGTTCTGTTTCTTTTTCAAATCTATTTGCTTTTGGGATATACTCTTCTCTTCTTTTATTTTGAGTCTTCTTTTGTCTGTTTGACTAGTAGTGTTTATGCCCTTTCAGGCTGCTTCATTTCATCCCTGCATGTTCTCAGTCGTCGAGCCTGCACACTATCTCTTTCATGGCTGTGTCTTTCTCTGTGACTTGTTATGTTTTACCATCTTTGGGGGTTCTGCTGAGTGTGTGTGCTTGTCTTTGGAGTGGTTTGCATTTGCTGTCACTGAAGCAGGAAATTTTAGGTCAGATTTTTGTGAACACTGCTTGGCTTGGAGTTGCTGTGCTACGTGCATGGTGTACATTGAGATCCCACGCCTGTTTGTGGCAAGAAAGGGTTTTTCTTCCGTCCACTCTCCCGGCAGACAGAACACGCTTTGCTGCTGGTCCGGGGCAGGTCTCCCCCCCCCCCCCCACTTTGAGGACAGATCTGCTGTCCTTCAGCTCCAGGCTCACTAAGGCCCCTCCCCGCAGCCTGCGGAGCCTCCCTGGTCCTCTGTGGGCTCCCAGAGTCACTGTCCAGGTATCCCAGCTTCCAGTTCCATTCCTCTTCTGGCACCAGGGGATTTTTTTATTTACAGGGTTTTGTTGTGTATTAATCAAATTTTTTTATGTTAGCATTTCTTTTGTGTTTTTATGATGGGCAGGCCCTTGTCCACGTTAGCTCAGTCTGCTATGTTTTCTGAAGTTGATAATAAATTTAACAGATTTTTTTTTTTTGCCATTGGACAGTGTAAATTCTAAATTCGTATTTCATCAAACAGTAAAAAGCTGTAGAAAATGTTGCAAACGTCTGCTGTATCCGTTGCCATGTGGAAGTGTCCACTACGCGTTGTCTTTTTCATGTGATATTTCCCTCTACTATTTTAATTGTAATACAGACTCTGGATTAGTGCATTTTCCGGCTCCTATGAATAAGGAAGATCAAAGCAACAAAGAACAGACTTTTGAAGATGAATTTTCAATAACAGAAACTCATTCTCGTCAAAAAATGTGTGCGTTTCCTTCTGCCGACTCAGTTCTCAGCCTCTCCAGCGACCAGAAGACAAGTTTTCCTGGTATTGTTCTCCACTTAATTATTTTCCAATACACTGAAGGCTATAACAATGTATTATTTTTACTGAGTAATATTTATAGGGAATACAGTTATGAAGGATTTATGAAGTCATTTTACAGTACTTACAAATTTTGGGTGAAGGGAAGTTAAAAAATTGCACCATTCACATGAACTGTGTCTTGTTACCTTCATAAGATACACAGCAAGCAAGCATCATATATCTCTCTAGCTAATTAGTGTGAAATCTACAACCAGAATTACTAAAATATTTGATTTTTTTTTAAATTGAGAAATTCAAACACTGCTAATTATGCGAACTTGCATTTAATTTAAAAACAAAATAGTGGCTGTGACTTACGAGCCCCAGCTGTGTACCCTCAGCGCTGGGCCCAGCATCGCCCCGTCATCTGGCTGCGAGGCTGGTAGCATCCATGTCCGCACTGCACAGTTGGGGATACTGAGGCTTAGAAACTTGTGCCTGTTCATTCTCTCATTTGCAGCTGGCAGTGAAATGCTCTTCTTGAGTCCTAACAGATCGCTCTAGCATGTGAAGGACAGGGCCTACTAAATGCAATGGGTTACCTTTGACAGTGGATTTGAACGTTTTTTTTAAACCTAGATATCGATGGTCAATGATTTTACTGAATGTTTACTATCAACAATTGCTATTTGTAAATGGCATTGCTGTCATTTAAATAAAAGAAAGGCTGTAGACAAGCTGTCATTAAATCTTGTAATTTTTTTTCTCTTGGTAACGGCTTCTTGGATTTAAATTAGATATTTTCCCAAATGTATTACTTTTAGACCATCCAGGTTTGTGTTTTGAGATTGTTTGAATAAATTGCACACAGTATTCTAAACTGTATTAACCAAAGAAAGATTGTACCTCCTAAAAGTATATTATTCAGAGTAGTATTCTGGGAACAAAAGTAGTAATCTCAAAATGGGACATTTACTACCGAATGGTATATTCAAGAGGAGGATAAATATGCTATACTTATACCTTTAAACCAATTTGGAGGTTTAAAAATATTTTAATTTCTGTTTATATAATTCCTAAGTCAGGTTAATAATTGAAAGTAGAAAATTAATTGGCCTGAAGTTTGTTTGAAATAATGTCTCTTTTTTTTTTTTTTTTTTAAGGTGTGAATAACAATGATGAGTTATTTCAGAGGTAAATATATTAAGAATTAATCTACAATTTTACTTAAAGTTGGGTACTACATTCTGGAAATTGCATTGTTCATATATATGTGAACATCTACACTACATTTTTTTTGTGGATTAAAAGAGTATAGTTAATTCCCGTTGGGAATGGGATGTTTTAAAAAATCTGAGGACTGGCACCCCCTCACTGTGTTAGCGCAGGCAGTAAGGATACCATAAGCTGCACATCATCTTTACTGTATTCACGTTCAGTTTCAGTAGGCAGGACAGGGAGAACTTGTCTCCCGGGCCTCATGTTGCTTTTGTTAGAGCACATATTGATCAGTTATTGATGACCAGGCTTTTCCACTGAGTATTACTGGATTAAAGAATACAAAGAACAGTATTTATATGTTTATCATTTTTGTGCTCATTTATGCTCTCACAGAGTATAGTTTTGCATGTTCTCATTGCTGCAATAAGTTGTAGATACTGACCTACTTTTCTCAAATTGCACTTGCAAATGAAGCGTTTCAGCAGATCCACTCCAGGTCACTGGGCTGACGGACATTGCAGACATTATTGATGACCTCATTACCAAAGACGGAGTTTCCAGCAAAGAACTGGGCTTAACAGAACAACAAGCCAGGAGCATCTCTAGGTAACCGCTGAATAACTTTTTTGAATAATTAATTTTTTATTTTTTATTTATTTATTTTAATATATTTTATTGATTTTTTATCGAGAGAAAGGGAGAGGGATAGAGAGCTAGAAACATCGATGAGAGAGAGAAATCGATCAGCTGCCTCCTGCACACCCCCCACTGGGGATGTTCCCGCAACCAATGTATATGACCTTGACCGGAACCGAACCTGGGACCTTCCAGTCCGCAGACCGACGCTCTATCCACTGAGCCAAACCGGCTTCGGCTGAATAATTAATTTTTAACCATTTAAAATTTTTATGGTTCTAGAATATTCAAACTTAGCCATATTTTAATGAAACAAATTCAAAGCTTACAATAGGTCTTTTTCTTTATCATGAACACATTTTGTGATGTTTCTATATCGTTCCAAATTAACCTACCATCTTTGTTGGGTTAGTTTGCATACTCCTGATTGGCTTGTGGGCATCGTGAAGTAAGAAGTCAATTAGCATCTTACTCTTTTATTAGTGTAGCTGCCACTTTTTGAGATGGGACAGAATCTTAACAATAAACAGTATGTAGTTGTGGTACTGCTGATCTCCATCACAAATTTAAAGTCACGCAGTACTCTGCCTGTTACATTCCTTAGGATTCAGCAGTCTTCCAGGAGCCGGTCTGGAAGAACTGCCAAGGAGAGGAGAGAGATCCAGGTCTGGATGAGAAGAAAGCGGAGAGAGAGGATGGCGGAGTACTTACACCAGCTGGCGGAGAGGAGGGGGCAGGAGCATGACCCCTTCTGCCCCAGGAGCAACGTGGTGAGCCTGCAGGGTCAGGGACAGGAGGACATCACAGGACGCCTGAGGTTTTTTTCCTGGCAAAATTTAAGAAAAGGATGAACAAAATTTAAATGTATTTTTAATTTGACAAAAAAAGTCAGCATTTTACTTAAGTAGGAAATTACCTTAACAAAAGATAGCAGAGTATTGCAGAGCCATCTTACATTGAATTATCTTAAGTACTTTTTCTCCTGCAGGCTAACTGTGGCTCTAGCATTTTACACAAATGAGGGCTTGAGAGATTGGGTGACGGTTGGAGTAATTCCCATATTTTCCCTGAGAGTCTGTTGCAGCTGAATACCTGTGTCTGTGGGAGAGCCATTTAGAATCTGTTTCTATCGTACCTTCCCTAGAGAACTATGGTCTAGTCATGGACCAACAGAACAATGGCCCTGGGGGTGTCACCTGCCCCTCAGGCTGTCATTCTGTTCCCGGAGCTCTGCGGTGGGTTGGGCCAGAGTGCTGCTTCTAAAGGAGACACAGCAGTGTTCTCAGTCATCTCAGTGCTGCTGGGACAGTCCCAGTCAGATTCATCTCGATTAGTTTATCTTTTACTTTCTGACATGAAAAGGTACTTCATTCTTTTTAGCACCATTCCGTAAATGAATTTTCCAGATAAGATTGTCACATTTAAGCACCACATGGTACAAAAGTAGGTGGAGCAGTGTTTAGCGTGTTCACTTGGCGGTGGAAAGGTAGTTTACTTACCTGTGCCTGCAGAGAGCATGCTGATGTCGAGGTAACGTTTTGTCAGTAGCTCTGGGAACATAGTGATGACCTTCAGGGCTGCTGAGGTACATGACCAGAATCTTACAGTGCTCATGGATATGTGTGTGTTTCCTCCACCCCCTGCCAGCCAAACAAATACCCAAGAGGGTTAGAGTTGTGTCCAAATTTATAATAAATGGACTTTGAGGGCATTGGGATGTTTGGTTTATAAACTTTATGACATGTCCTTCACGATCTCAGACCTCATTTCTATATTTGTAGCTTCTATTTGGGTAAAGGTATGGGAATAGTGAGGGGTTAATGTAATTAAAAACATCATAATTTGTTATTACTTCTGTTTAGGATCTTGAGAGAGTGAATTCACTTCTTTGTGCACCTATTTATACTTAAAATTTGTGTGAAAAAACAACCTCATTAGCAACTCAACATGACTTTCAAAAAATATATATTTTATTGATTTTTTTTTACAGAGAGGAAGAGAGAGGGACAGAGAGTTAGAAAATTGATGAGAGAGAATCATCGATCAGCTGCCTCTTGCACACCCCCTACTGGGGATGTGCCTGCAACCAAGGTGCATGCCCTTGACCGGAATCGAACCTGGGACCCCTCAGTCCACAGGCCGACACTCTATCCACTGAACCAAACTGGTTTCGGCTCAACATGACAATGTTCTGTAATAGCGATGTTTATATATATAGCGACGTTTGCTAGTTTGCCTCTTGGTGCCTTAGTTTTTAAGAGTTTACTGTTATAATGAATTCACTGCAATACATTTCTGGTGAACATTTTGAAACATCAAAATGATGGTTTCACAAGTTTGGCTCATTTCTGCTTTATTAACCAAGCTATTGGTGAGATTAATCACCAGACTGAGTACAAAGTAGAGGTGTCTCCATCCTTAATAGGTTCTTATTTTCCCTTTTAAATGCAGCTGATAAGGATCTCTTTTCCAGAAAACATATTAATTTAGCTACTAAAATAGATTTTGCATTCCACTCATTAAATTGCATTTTGGCCGAAACCAGTTTGGCTCAGTGGATAGAGCGTCGGTCTGCAGACTGAAAGATCCCGGGTTCGATTCCGTTCAAGGGCATGTACCTTGGTTTAGGGCACATCCCCAGTAGGGGGTGTGCAGGAGGCAGCTGATGGATGTTTCTCATCGATGTTTCTAACTCTCTGTCCCTCTCCCTTCCTCTCTGTAAAAAATCAATTTAAAAAATTGGACTTTATTTAATTACATAATGCTTTAACATTTTCATGTTTTGTGCTGGGGTCAGAAGCTTCATCAAATATGACAGTATTTTGCACTGTTTCCTAAATGATAAAATTATATTTTAACCTCCTGTTAAAATTTATTAGTGGAATTTTCATGTTTTCTATGAACCATAATGGTTTAATTATTTGTACTGTACAATAATGAGCTAACTGGATATTTCTTGTACAGTTTTACATGACTTCAAGAGAAATCAGGCTGAGACAAAAGATGAAGCATGAAAAAGACAGGTGAGTGGTAGCACCCTCGCTGGCTTGCTCACCTGACGCATAGAAAATGCCTAAGGAATTCCGGTTTCCACAGTAGTTCCTTTTTTGTCAATTGTGGGATGGACTGCAATAGACTCCACTAGCCTTCTTAGGAATTTGCTTTCAAATATTATTTCTTCCATTCACTTTTTGTGAGTTTTATTTTTGGATTCCTCTCTCTCTCCCAGTTCAGAAATGTGGATGCATGTTGAAACTATCTCAAAGGCCATAGCTACAGAAACCTTTAATAATACTGCATAATGGTCTTTAGACATATGAACTTCGATATTACATTTGAAGTGCATTTGAAAAGCATTGCAAAAAACACATGCCTGGTGGTCTTCAGACAGTGTTCCTTCTAGAAAGATGAACTGAAAGTGACTTATTAAATGTTGTTTAATTCTTTCTCTAAAGATTGCTACTCTGTGACCACTACAGTCGTCGAATTTCACAAGCATATAGTCTGATGAATGAACTGCTGTCTGAATCGGTGCAGCTACCAGCACAGAAGCCATCGCCTAGCAAGCCCAGGACCGCTCAGACTTCCAGGCTGCAAAGCTCCCTTTCGCCAAGAAGGTAAGATAAGGTTTATGTCATTTGGCAAGATAGTGTCAGGCGTGCTAAGAAATGAAGCACTTTTGCATCTACCCTGCTCAGAATTATGATAAAGTGAAGAGAAAAATGGCTCCTAATTATGATTTCTTTATAAGTGCATACAATTACCACGGAAGAAGACAGTGGCATTAAATCTCTAAGACACAACAAAGCATCTCACCTTACCTAATGCAATTTTGTTGTCCGTTCAATCTTTTCTTCTTTCCTGTCATTTTTGTTAATATTTCCTCCTGTCACTTGCCTGCTAACTGCTCTCCACTGGGCTCCACTCTTGCAGAAACAGTCCCACCAGCTCGTCACTCCTCCTCTGCCACCTCCTCCTGCCTGTCCCGTTGTTGCTGATTCACTTGTAGATACTATTACATATTTCTTCCTAAGTTAGTGACCTGCAGTAGGTTTGGATATCAGTTTGTTAGGCAGGAATTAAACTGAGAATGGTTTTTTAAAAAATATATATATTTTAAAATATATTTTTAATTGATTTTCTTAAAATATATTTTTATTGATTTCATAGAAGAAGGGACTCAGGGAGTGAGAAAAACATCAATGATGAGAGAGAATCATTGATCGGCTGCCTTCTGCATAGGATGGAGACTGGAATTCCAACAGTGACCTCCTGGTTCATAGGTTGATGCTCAACCACTGCTTTTGGAATCTTTTATAAAACAAAGTAGGGTCTTAAATACACAATAACTAGAGAATTTCTTAAATTGATTTGAAGGGGAGAGAGAGAAACACTCATCAGTTGCATCCTGCACGCCCCCTCCCCCCCCCCCCCCCCCCCACCGAGTGGGCATTGGACCCCGCTACCTTTTGGTATACAGGACGAGGCTCTAACCAACTGAGTCACCCGGCCAGCGCAGTACATACACAATTTGAAATAGATGGAGAACAAAAATAGTTTCTTTGAAAAATGCATTAAGTTTGAGATATCAAGAATAACTTGTTGAGAGTTATTATACACTAAATATGTCACTGAGGTACAGAATAAGTGAAAGTATTCATCTGAGGGAGAATCTGGGCTTTTTGAAATTCAGTTTTATCACTGATATGAGATTCTATGAATGTAATAATAATAATAATAATAATATTTCTTCTTTAGAGAGACCCGCTATGGTCACAACTTTCCAGTAAATCGACCTGGAAAAGTCAGATATATATCCAAACCAAGTTATATCCCAAAAGGAAAATCTTTCGGGCAACCTCAGAGCTCACCTTGTCCACATGGTAAGACAGAGCTTTTTTTATCTTGTATAATTTGGGCCTATTGCTTCTTGTCTCCAAAGTTACATTTTCATTAGTAACAGCTGTAAGTCTTAGTGAAAAGCAATTCTCATTTCAGCAGAATATAAAATATTGCACTGGGGAATAAGAAAACCCTAGGAATCTTTTAAAACAAATGACCTTTTTGTAATAAATAGCATTTGAATGGTCAGTAAATTAGATATGATTGACTTGGGAATCTTTGGCTAAAGAACTTGATTTGGGATGTAAAGTACAGCATAGGGAATATAGTTAATAATATTGTAATAACTGTGTATGGTGTCAGGTGGATATTAGGCCTATTGGGGGGGATTATTTCTTAAGTTATACAAATGACCTGAAACTAATATAAAATAATATAAATTTGAAACTAATATAAACTAATATAAAATTGAATGGCAACTGTAATTGACAAAAAAACGTTCTGGTAGATTTCAAGATTTCAGGTTGGATATAAAACAGAAGAATACTGAGAGGCTCATGTTTTTACCCTTTGAACATCCTTTCCCACATTTAAAGATGTTATTTATTGTTTGCCTTCCTTTAGTTTTTCCATAGTTAAGTTTTGATTACTATTAATAAAGTAAAACATACTTGTAGCTAACAGGGAGTATAAATGTGTATAGCTTACGTGGTGCCCTCAGATGTCATTTAAAACATACCTTCTAGAGTTATTGAAAATGATAAAACATTTTGCATAACAAACATTAAATAGTTGCTAGTAACTTTGAAATTTAAGAAACCATAGTTAGTCATTTTCTTGATACAGTTTACCTTGGCATCTGTTGGGAGTTCCCAGCTCGTAGACTTAGTGTCTGACCTCAGGCTGCGAGGATAGGTGTCTTTGGAAAGCACCACGGCTGTGCTGTAAGGAAACCACGACCCAGAGTCTGCCTGCCTTCATCTGCACTTTTGCTCTGCTTTCTTGGTTTAAATAAAATCCATCCTCAGAGGCGTCTGCCCTCGAAGGCCTTACAGTAGGACACGGGAATAATCACGCACATGCACTAGGTGAAGACACCTGCCTGTCTTTGCAGGAACTGTCACTTTTACCCAGAAAAAAGCCGGTGGAGCCAGAGGGGCACGGAGGAAGTCTGTGCACTCTCCAGTCACCTTCCGAATAGGTAAGAGGTTCTTGAAGTTGATATTAAATCTATAAAAACTGTAAATCATTCTTAGAAATTTCAAATACAGGTTTCAGAATGAAAAGTGGGACTTACTGATTCAGAGAAAAGACTGTGGAGTTAATTTGGAATCCCAGGTCATCACTTACTCTTTAGCCTGGGGCAGATCCAGTACATTCATGTGAACTTCCATTTTCTCACCTGCAAAATGTGAATTATAACTGTACGAGTGTATGCCAAGGGGTCACCACAGTGCTCAGCATGACAAGTGCTCAGCAAGGTGCTAGGGTCCCATAGTCATGGAACGCAGGCCCAATTCTGCTCCATCTTTGGATACTTGCTCAAGTTAGCTGTGCTCAATGAGAGAGGGGGAAATTATGATCTTAACTAGAGACCTGGTGCATGAATTCATGCAACAGTGGGGTCCCTTGGCCTGGCCTGTGGGATGGGGCTGAAACTGGCCTCTGACATCCCCCAAGGGGTCCAGGATTGTGAGAGAACACAGGCCAGGCCGAGGTACCCCACTGGTGCACAATTAGGGCTGAAGAAGGACTGTGGGAGGGCTCCAGGGCATGTCTGGCCCTTGCTCTCTCAGTCCTAATCGGCCAGACCCCAGCAGCAAGCTAACTTACCAATCTGAGTGTTTTCCCCCTGGTGGTCAGTTCACGTTATAGTGAGCGGTTGAGTGGCCTTAGCATATCATTAATATATTACGCTTTGATTGGTTGAAAGGCCAGACACTTAGCATATTAGGCTTTTATTACACAGGAATTCCTAATGTCTCCTCCTAGTCCAGCAGTCACCAACCTTTTGGACCTTATGGACCATCAGTGGTCCATGGACCATCAGTTGGTAACCACTGCTCTAGCTCACCCTCATCCATGTTCCTCTTCACAGTTCTATAAAACCTGGTAGACGGGAGACCATGGAAATGCACATAAGTTCAAGGGACTGAGTGTCCCTTCGTAAATCCAAAATGGGTGCTGCTATTATTGCTTTGGGGCCCTTATTTCTTGGAGGTATCCTTACCTTTAAGTGTATGAGGTTGGTAAAGCTGTGAAAGGCCAAATTTCACTCTTTTACCTCCTCTTCTCCTCTTTGGGAAGTAAACAGGTCCAGTCCCATGTCATGGGTGTCCCTTAGGTCAGCACTGGCTGTGGAACATAAGTGTGTTAGAGGCAAGCTCCACAGGCCCAGTGCAGAGAGCTCTTTGCTCCCCAGCCTCTGGCCCTGGCTTGGGGAATTTCTTTTCTACAAGTACTTATGTTCAGTAGGGGGCAGAGGGCCACATTGTGGATGTCTGAGGGCACCAGCCAGGGACTCACCACAGTCTCTTACCCTGCACTTACCCTGATGCCTGTGCCCAAGGCAGACTGTAGGTGTGAAGCCTGGGTGAAGAAGATGCCTAATATCACTCTTAGGAAGTATCCACAAGTCCTCCCTAAGAGGCCACTCCTCCACAGCTCTGTTCTGTGGCCCCTCCTCCCCATACTCTCATCTTAGAGGTTACTGTTACTTTTAAAACTGAGATAGGTGGCCAGAATTCAAGTCCCTTCTCCCTAGGAACAGGAAAAGTTAGAACTACATCCAAATCCACAGAGTTTGGATGTAGTTCTAAAGCGAACTACATCCAAACCCTGTGGTTCAAATAGTAGGTAAAATGTGACTGCCATGGATTTGAGGATAAAAGTCACAATAAATGAGCTAGTCCCAATGTACGCTTTGTTCTTTTCCCTTGTCAGGCTCTGCTGCTCCCTGTCTACGGCATTCAAAACAGTACCGGAGCGCTGGGCCTGGCCCTCACACGGAGCAGGTGTGTGCAGAGGATGAGAGAGAGGAGACTGTGGTGAGTCCCTGGCTGGTGCCCTCAGACATCCGCAGGATTCTTCACGGAAGTCACAGTTCCCTTCTACAAGACCTGTCACCAGCTGAAGAGCCAGCGTCCCCCGCTGGGGAGGGTGGCATGGACAGTGCCTCTGAGAGCACTGGCAGCATCCTCAGCAAGCTCGACTGGAATGCGGTCGAAGACATGGTAGCCAGCGTGGAAGACAAGAGCCTGTCTGTCCACCGGGCCCTGGGTCTGTAAGGCCTCGAGGTGTTCTGTTTCCAAGGCCGGCAGCGCAGTGGTGTGGGAAGGAAGCAATACAGAGTGATGCGAATTTACCACCTGCAGCCATATATTACCTGGACAAGCCATTTCAAGAGGGAAAATAAACATTTCTCAGTAATTTTGCCTTCCTGGGAAAGGGTTCTTTAATTATAGATGTATTATATGTTTTTGCATTTGACTTATATTTGGGCATTATTTTTTAAATGATAAAAAAATAAAACGCATCTTTCAAGCTGAGTTCACTTAATATTTAAGCTCCTTTACTATCCCGAGTTTGGGGGGAAAAATTATATGAGTAAAGGTAGGGAAAAGAAAGGAGGAGGAGCTGAAACCGGTTTGGCTCAGTGATAGAGCGTTGGTCTGTGGACTGGAAGGTCCCAGGTTCGATTCCGGTCAAGGGAATGTACTTTGGTTGCAGGCACATCCCCGGTAGGGGGTGTGCAGCTAGTCGATGTTTCTCTCTCATCGACGTTTCTAGCTCTCTATCCCCCTCTCCTCCTCTCTGTAAAAAATCAAAATAAATATTTAAAAAAAACGAGGAGGAGAGAATCACAACCTTACTGGAGACACTCATAATGAACTCCGTTTTAAAACATACTCAAATTCAGCTGGGCAGGGCCTGCCTGGGCGTGAAAGGAACGAACATCCGCTGCCAATCCTGAACTGAGGAAAACGTCCCTATATGTCTGGCCTCTGCCGGCAGCAGAGAGCCTTGGAGGCAGAAGCAGGCTGGATGCTTTGGGTGGGAAAAAGAGGGAATATGACTCCTGACTCTGGGAGGAACCTGCTAACTTTGTAAAAACCATGGTGCCAGAGGACTTCGTCAAGATGGTGGACCAGGCAAACACTGTCGCAAATTATAAAACCGCCTAAAGACTAGCTGAACAGGAGGCCCATAACTATATAAAGATGCATCCACCTTGAGGCTGGTGGGGAGGGAGAGCGATCTTGGCTGCAGGTCTCCCCCAGAGGAGCAAGCATGTCCCAATCCCACACTGCTCTGCCCGGCCCTCTGTTCTCATAACGGGAAGGGGAGTCCCCATAACAACTGGCTGAAAACCAGGGGGGTTGTGTCTGAGTGAGATGGAGAGCTACTGGAGACCCAGACGCTGCAGGTCTTAAAGGGCCCAAATACAGACTCCCTTGCTCTAGGCCCCTGTGCAGAGGCAGCAGCACCAAGTGTCAGGGATAGGGGATTAGTGACCAGCTTCAGGGCTGGAAATGAAAGCGGCGGCAGGGAATGTTGTTTCTTTGTTGAACCACACCCACCTAGCCAGCCCAGGTGCCAAATCTGAGTTCTCCATTAACCTGGCTAACACTAATGCCAGCAACAGCTGGCCTTGGTGTACCATGTACCTCTTGCCAAGATACTCCAAGCCTGACATAAGTGGTTTCAACTTACATTTAAGTTGCATCAAGTAGCCCCACACCCAGCATAAGCAGTGGCCAGTCTTGGCTGGGCATGTAGCCTCAATTGGGTGGCCACAAACCTGGCACAAATGGCAGGTAGCCTCTGCTCACATTATGGTGCCCACCAAATGGCCCCAGGCCTGATACTAATGGCAGCCAGCCTGATTCACAGAATAGGCACCAAGTGCAGCGCAAGCAGCTACCAACTGCAGGTCACTGTAGCAGCTACCAGACCACCTCAAGATGGGCACAGGTGATGGCTGGCCTTGCTCTGCACTGTCACCCCTCTGCGGAAGCTTCAGACCAGGCCAGAGCACCCCTCCCCAACCAGCTCCACAGATCACAGATGCAGAGGGCAGTGGAACCCCCTAAAGCAACTTCCACTCCACAGGGTCAGCACCTGCACAGCATTTCCTCCGAGGGAATCATGACCAGCCCTCACAGCCGATCAGCCTGAGGGTTAATCCCATCCTCTGATGTGTCAACAGCAATCAAAGCTCAACCACAACAGGAGGATATACACAACCTACACAGGGGGCGAGGAGTGGGCACAGTTTGGGTGATCAGGAAGACTGTGCCACTGGACCCCACAAGACACCCACTACATAAGGCCACTCTGCCAAGACCTGGAGGTATAGCAGGTCTACCTAAAACAGAAATAAACAAAGAGTCATGCAAAATGAGACAAAGGAACATGTTCCAAAATAAAAGGCCAGGAAAAAAACTCCAGAAAAATAAAATGGAGACAATCAGATGAACAGTTCAAAACATTGGTTAGGCCTGAAATCATAGAACTCCGACATTGCTCTCAGCAAAGGAAACCATAAAACAAAAATACAACCTACTTAATTGGAGAACATATTTGACAATGATACATCTGATAAGAATACCAAAATTTATAAATAACTTATACAACGCAACACCAACCCCCACCCCAAAAAATCCAATAAAAAATGGGCAGAGGACCTGAATAGACACTTCTCCAAAGAGGACAACAGATGGCTAATACAAATGCAAATTAAATCCACAATGAGATGTCACCTTATACCTGTCAGAATGGCTATCATCAATAAAGCAATAAACAAGTGCTGTGGAGGATGCGGAGAAGGAAAAGGGAACCCTCATGAACTGTTGGTGGAATTGCAAATTGGTAAGCAGTATGGAGGTTCCTAAAAAAAATCAGAATTATCATGTGACCCTGCAATCCCACTCCTGGGTATTTCTATCCAAAGAAATCAAAACACCAATTAAAAAAGATATATGCAGCCTTATTTACAACAGCCAAGGTATGGAAGATAAGTGGTCATCAATAGATAACTGGATAAAGAAAATGTGGTACTTGCTCAGCCAGTGTGGCTCAGTTGGTTGAGCACCGTTCCCTGCACCAGGCAGTAGGTTGCTGGTTCAATTCCCAGTCAGGGCACATGTCGGAGGGGTGCAGGCTCCCTTCTCTCTGAAATCAATAAAGACATGTTAAAAAAAGAAAAAGAAAAGAAGATATGGTGTGTACACACACACACACACACACACACACACACACACACACACACTGGAATGAAAAGAATGAAATCTTACCATTTGTGACAACATGGATGGACCAGGAGGGCATTATGCTGTGAAATAAACCAGATAGAAAGTGATAAATATAAGATTTCACTTATATATAGAACCTAAAAGACCAAACAAACTCACAGGTATAGAAAATAAATTAATGCTTGCCAGATGAGAGGCAGGCTGGGGAGCTGAGTGAAAAAGGTGAATAGATTAATAAGTACAGATTGGCAGTTATAAAAAAAATCATAAGGATATAAAGTACAGCATAAAAAATATAGTCAATAATCTAATAATAAAGGGGTAATATGCTAATTAGACTGGACATCTTCCAGACATCCTTCCTGACAAAATGGGGGTTGGAGGGAAGCCAGCCCAGATTCCAGGTGCCTGCAGGTGGCCGGAGGAGGGAAGCAGCCCCAGTACTGGGTACCTGTCAGCAGCTGGAGGAGGGAAGCCCAGGTCCCAGGTGCTGGAGGGAAGCCAGTGCTGGCAGCTGGGGGAAAGAAGACCTGCTTTTGCATGAATTGCCTCTAGTATTGCAATAACAATGTATGGCATTAAGTGGGTAGTGGACTTACCAGGGTATCAACCTTAGTATTAAATTATAGAAATGTCTAACCACTATGCTGTATACCTAAAACTAATATATTATTGTATGTTAACTGTAATAAGTAATACTATCTAATAAAAGAGCAATATGCAAATTAACCATCATTCGGCTATGCCCACCAGCCACACCCACCAGCCAATCAGAGAGAGTATGCAAATTAACCCCAACTAAGATGCCTGTAGCCACAGAGTGAGGAGGAGGGAGGCTTGGGTTTTCCTGGCAATGGAGGAAGCCAAGCTTTCCACACACACTGGTAGGCCCAGGCCTCCACTCAAGGGTACAAAGTTTCAATTATTGAAGGTAAATAAATTCCAACAGAAATGGTGGCAGCCATGGAGCTGGAAGAGCAGAGCCCAGGGTTGCCCCTGGCAATGGAGGAAGCCAAGCTTTCCACACACCCTGGCCAGCCCAGACCTCTGCTTAAGGCTACAAAATGTCAATTATAGAAGATACATAAATTCCAACAGAAATGGCTGCCACCACACAGTGAGTAGGAGGCTTGGCTCCACTCCAGGCTACAGTTTCAATTGTAGAAGATAAATAAACCCCACATACCAGGGCCTGTGCTTGGGTCGCCAGGGGTCATGGCCAGCCAGCAAACCACCAGAGGCCCCTCGTCCAGGCTGCCCCATGCCCCAAGAGAACCCCCACCCTGATCTGGGACACCCTTCAGGGCAAACCAGCCAATCCCCACCCATGCACCAGGCCTCTATCCTATCTAATAAAAGAGTAATATGCAGATTGACCATCAATCCAACACACAAGATGGCTGCCCCCATGTGGTCAAAGATCCTGCCCCTATGTGGACCAAGATGGCCTGCAAGGGAGGGCAGTTGTGGGCAATCAGGGGAGGGAAGTTGGGGGCAATCAACCATGGAGGGGAGGGCAGTTAGGGGTGACCAGGCCGGCAGAGGAGGGAAGTTGGGGGCAAATAGGCTGGCAGTGAGCAGTTAGACATCAACCAGGCTGGCATGGGAATAGTTAGGGGGTCATCAGGCTGGCAGGCAGTAGTGGTTAGGGACAATCAGGAAGGCAGGCACGCGAGCAGTTGGGAGCCAGCAGTCCTGGATTATGAGAGGGATCCCAGATTGGAGAGGGTGCTGGCTGGGCTGAGGGACACCTCCCATCCCCTGTGCATGAATTTCGTGCACCAGGCCTCTAGTTGCTTAATAAAATGGTACCAGAGCTTTGGGTAGTTTTTGGTACTGCAGCAAAACAATCTCATAATTTTGGCAATAATTTTTTTGAGAAGAAACCTTCATCCACTTGGCAATTTTTGCTATAGTATCAAAGAATGTTATAATCTGAAAAGATTACTAAATATTCCTCCTTTTCCAACTACGTAACTGTATAATGCCAGATTTTTCATATAGTTTGATCAAAACAATATATGCAACAGGTT